CGCCTTGGTAACGGTTCCAAAGCATAGACATCCTTCACTCATTGTTTATTTTTTCAGCAAAACAACTGTTTTGTCTGTTTTACGAAAACTCAGCTGTTTTCCATCGAAACAGACAAGCTTTAACCGTACTTTATAAGAATTTAGGTATGTCTAGACATATACATATTTAGACGGGCCTAAACTCATTGTTTTGGATTAAAAAATATTTCCTGAGAACGTAAAAATAGCCGAATTGAAAATTTACTTTCCATCATTTAACATATTTAGTTTTCATTGAATTAGAAAACATAGATAATGCTTCGCATCTATTGGAAAGTTACTCTTCCGAGGCAGTAAAAATGCACAGCAACTATTGCATGATATCTATCAGAATAATAAAATATTGTATTTGCAATTTCTTTGGACACTCATTGGAAAGAGGTTGCAAAAGTATGCACTTTTGAGTAGAGTTTTTATGATTAATTACATCAAATTATTTTCGTCACAACCATATTGTTGCCCCCTTTTGTATGCATACATAACACCCTCATTTTCACTTAATACGCAGGTTCAATTTTTCCATCGTCCACTGACCTTGATGATCTTGTAGATTCACAATCCCTTAGTCTCAAGGAATAGTTGTTAAAGCAAATACTTGGAGTGGAGGCAAACTCTGCAAGTGTAGAAGATACTCCCGAGGAATGAGACTGTCAAAAAGCGGTTATCACTACGCATCTAGCAAGAAACGGCTTCGCTTTAAGGTAGTGATTAAGGCTACTAACCTGATGAGAACGATACATTTATTGGGTTGGCTTTTGTAGTTCCTGTTGCCAGGAACGCAAATTTCTTTTGCAGCCGAAAGAAAATTACCTGATACTATCGTCCCTTTGGTTTCGTGCCAGAAAAAGTGTGTCACCTAGTCAGGTGCAGATAACCTATTTTAGGATCTTGATGGTAAAAGTAGCCTTAAAAATTGCAGTACAGATAAATTTTATCCCCCTTGAATATACAGGCGCCTTTGCCATATGGCACACGAAAAAGTGTATTTTAATGGCTACGTAATCCATTGTCGTATATTTTCAATTCTATTGTTGCTGCATTCTTGCTCGAGAGTGATGATCTCCCATTAGAGCTAGCTTAGCGTTGCACAAAAATATAGCCAGTTTCTTTCAAGTGCAGACAATTCATAAAAATCCTTTGCCAAATTCTGTCATATTCATGGAACTTCCATTTTATCGCCTCATAGAACTATTGATGAAAGCCAAAACAAGGGCCATTCGTAACTACAATCTACGTTTTTCTGAGTCAGAACTTAGAGAATGGGACTGTACAATGGAGGAAAGATTATTTGCTGCTTGCACTTTGTCTTGTTGCCTTATGGGGCACCTCAAATTCTTCTATACGGATGTGCTGTTTTGCCTCCTAAAATTACCGTACTTTTGCACACTCTAATCAATGGCCCAAATACTAATTTTAGAAATTGTTTTCGTAATGAATAGCTCTAACTCAAGCCTTTTTTATATTTTTTTTTCTTTCTCGATCATTTAAATAAGGGTGCGTATTAGAGACTTGTACAATGTAATGCGCCTAGCATTTAACTGGTTAGGATTTGATAGTGCTATCATAATTGTTCTTAATTGTTTGGAATTGGAAAATATTTGCCCCGGAAAATGATTAACTCCGTTGAAGTGTTTCCCTTGAGCGCTTCTGTTAGGTATAATTGAATCCACCAGAACTAATAAATATGACAAAGCATTTCAAATAATTAAGCTGAATGTAAACAAATAGATTGACTACGAGTAAATTACCTTTTCATTTGATACCTCAAGTGATTTTGTAAGAAGTAATGAATAGCTACAGGCTCAAAATGATGCTTCAAATTACCCTAAATAATGATTTGCAATACATATATCACGGTTGTCTTGCTTGGTGAATATTTTTGGGCACGTAACTCTGCTTACGTATTCATTCCCCTTATTGCATTCATCTTCATTCTATTTCCTTTATCTATGAAGAAGCAGTTGTCTATCACGCTCACTTCCACTTTTACACTTTTAACACAACAACTCCGTTTTAACAAGGACCCTGTGTTGGGTTTCGTTAAACTACTACAAAGTGATATGTAAGGCGTTGCCTTACCCCACGTTCAAATGATTCAGCCCAAAGGTTATTCACATCTTTCTAAGCGCAAACGGAAATTTAATGCATATTCAAAAAGATTCACCGTCAATAAACCCTGGAAATTAAGAGTTTAATTAGAGCAAGTTTTTGAAGGGGTTAGTGGAACAGTGCTATTACTTGTGGAGTGAGATGTTGAGTACTTAACTACAGAGTTAAAAAGGAAAGAGGTTGTGATTTTAAGGTGTTACTTTGAGAGACATTACTGACTTCTATCTACCAACCATAGCAAGTCAGTAACACTTACCTAGCTTAAGAATTCCACAACTGTCGCCGAAAAAAATTCAATGTTCTTTGAAAAGAAATCGTTTCCCATGCAATTTTCTGCCTTTCATTAGCTGTTTTTTTTTCGGATTTTCGCTATAAAACGTTTAGGATTATAAACCGACCCGAGCTTAAATCCCCAAATTTATCTATCTACCTTTTGCAGGAGATATCATTTTTAAACTGGGCTCCATATTACCACTTATAGAGGAGTTCGTGGTGGCTCAAAACTATGGTATTTTGAAAGTAGGCAGGCCGGTGTAGGGAATTTCCATAAAGCACCACTTATACTTCTTACGTGTTTGTCAAATCTGATTGTGAACATCTAGCACCAAGGTTCTGCCTACGCATTTGCGCACACAACTCTTTGCGAGTTCGTGAGGGGAAAATGGAATAAAACTGTGTGATAAAATTGCCTCTACTTTAATAAATACTGTACTTTAGTTGACAAGAACAGCTGGAACAGTTTTAGTATTAAGCGCAATTTCCTTTAATTTTCCCTAAACGAAATAAAAAGCGTTAGGACAATCACAACGCCAACAATGGCCTTCTGAGTGAACTTTTAGAAAATTTAATGGTTGTAATAAACTTCATAACGTCACTTAAATGAACGCAACTGATAAATCAGTTGAAAACCTGAAACAAACCGGACAGCATACTGGTCTCGATATTGAGACCGATTATAGATGTCTTGAAAATAATCGGAGAATCTTTTCAAAACTTGTATGTAAATCTTCCCTTTAACAATATGCATAGCGCATAATGAGCATTTTTTCTAGCACCTCCAAAGTGTGATTAAAAGAATGCGATCTTATTTCAAAAGCTGAATTTAAACAGAAAAAAGGGTTGTTTACAAAAATTGTATTTATTTTTTCAGTCTAGTGAAATTGGCTACGATTCATCAAATTTTAGGGAATCGCATCGCGACAGTTTATTATCACACGCGTTTCGGTGAAATGCATTGAAATGCGAGACATATTAAGTTTGATTGACAAAGTCTTTCATTATCTCTAGTGCCTTAAAGCACTTCCAAGCATGACATTTACTTTTGGCTTCATTCTGCGGGAAACTTCACCTTTTTTAGAAAAACTTTCCCCCGTGTTTGTTAAGACTTTATTTTGATATAATTTAAAGTGTGACAGTCCCATTTCTTACTATCACTATCTCCTTCTGAGCCAGACATCCAAAAGATTTACTCTGTTTTAGCGTCCGTGCCTTAAAGATATCTGATGGATGTATCAGGGTCTAATTATTATTCATGTGTTTCATTATATCAAACTACCGGTTTCCAAGAGACTAACTTACCTCATGGTAAACTTTCGTCAACAGAAGCGAGCTTTTAATTGGATACTGGTTAATTCGATTTAATTTTTTCGCAGAAAAAGATCCTTACCTTAGTCGCGAGCAGAATACTCAGCCAGAACTGACGCAATCACCGGTGTTCCAGAAGTTCAGACATCTTGAAAACGGCATCTCCGTAACTCAACGAACGACAACCGCTAGCGGTACCGTAACAATCCGCTTTTCACTGCTAATGCTAACATCTTTTGTTAGCCTCATTTCTTCGCTACACTTGTGATTACCAGACTTTCCATGTCGCTTTTTTAATTCAAAATGTATTATGTAAGAAACTCTACTACTTTTTGCAGTGGTAACAGAGAAAATTGCATTTTTACTATTAACAACAAATTAACGTATTAATTTAACCCCATTTATTACGGACAAAGCTCAGCACGGATCTGCATGAGGATGGAGGCGGTAACAGTGAACAATCAACCAAATAAACCACGATATTATAGCGATTGGCCGAATGGATAACCACTGCTAGGATGCCTTTGTACCATTAAAGCCCTCTATAGGAGCACAACTTACGCTAATAGTAGTCTGGCTAAGGACCTAAAACCTCGCAAAAGCGAACAGAACAAGCCAACTGCCACACCCATGTTCCAGATATTTAGCATTGTGAATGCAAGCGCACCTACTTCATTTGCAAGCTACCCAATAACCTGAGTTATACTTGCTAAGAAAATACTTAATGCGAACCTTGCCAGCAGACAATTGCGCAAAGCAGTATCGGCGAACGTGCAGGTCAGCCGCCCAGACGCACAGGTGTGGCATCACACTCTGAGGGACACGATGTCAGACCATAGCCTAATATCTCCCTTTAACACTGCAATACAAAACCGATTAAAGGACTCCGTGGGCTAGAACAACCCCAAACAAATACGCACAAACAAATGCCCCTTATTGGCAGACTGCATCGTACGGAGATAACTAACGGGAGCTCATGACTCCTCGTACAACACTAAAACTATTTCATCAAGTAAAACACAAATCCACCAGTTACAACTACAACATTTGCCGAGCAACTGACCCAATGGTAGCTGTAGCATAACTAGGTAGTGGAAAAAGGGTACTTTGAGAACATAGGCCAGCATACTAGCCGCAATTCAACACACACAAAGAAAAACAGAAGCAAAGTGTTGTTTATTAAAAGAATTCAATTTCTGGATAACAAACCTGAGCCGAAGGCTGCGCAACTAGGTGTTAAACGTAGTTAGGTCCTTAATGACAACCATTCAGTTCTTCTTTTGCAAGTAAGCCTTTCTTTTCGATCTGGCATTCTCAACGTTTGCCCAGTAGATAATTGAGAAGGTGAAAATGAAGGCTAAATAGGTTGACTGAACACAATCCGCTTACGACTTGCAACCACGAGAAATTTCTCACGAAAACGTCTAACGAAATTCGGAAACCCTTGGCTGAAGAAGCCCTTGAATGCATTCACTTCATAAGGCGATATACTGTATGTTATAACGCCTCGCCTGTAATGAAGCTCACCAAACCTCATCTTTTATCAGACGCGCACTGTTGCGCATCGACTTAAACAAAATTACTAGACAATTCCATCCTTAATTTTTTCTATGTTTAAATAAAAAATTGTACTAAAAACTAAAAAATGTTTAAAAACTAGTAATGCGTGTCCTTTTGGATTCATAGTGCCAACTAAGTCACAAATTTAAACAACTAGTCAAAACTGGTTGCTGACAAATATTATGCAAGCTGTCTTCTTCTTGTTAGTTTAAAACGGTAGTGGACTGAATTTGCTATTAGCATAATTTTAATACGTTGGTTGTTTAACTCCGCTTTTGTGTGGAGCTGCCTTTGACTTAGCCGCTGCACCGCGCCGGGTGGGTTCTTCCTGCTGCCAGTAGCCCGGTACCTTCTGTATGCCGAATATGTATATTCTCTCCAAGTATTCTGTCTTATTTCATCCTCTGGGAAGTCCCGGGACGCTACGTAATGACAGGTAGTCATAATACCATGGCAGGAAACGTACCACTAAGGTGCGGAAGTGCCATGGAGGCTATTATCCTGGCTTGGAGTCCATTGCCACTTAGCGGAAATACAAAGTTGAAACCTTAAGTGCCCGCGAAATTATGACTATACGAATGCTTACTTTTATCGAGCAACGCTAACAATTCCTCGCTTAATTAACAGCTTACAATTTTAGTCTATTCTTCTTGCTGGAAAAAGTAGAGTGGCTGGCACCTTGGAGGACTGTTGTGGAGTGTTGCGGAAAAAAATCCCGGCATTGTACGCATAAGTGGTAGCGCTCACTGCTACAGAACGTCAATAGACGCAAGTCATTGGAAGTCAATTACTGTTTTTGAAATCCCGAAGTCGAATTTGATTCAGTACTCAGATCTTGAAATAAAATCGTTTGTTGCCCTTTTTTAATTTTATCTGGTTCCATGTAGTTCACTGTAGGTAGTAACGAAGGTAAGTGTACGCTTTGGTATTTAACACGACAATGCAGGCAGGCACTTTGATGGTATTCAGAAGGAATCCAGCAGTGGCTTATAAAGCTGTTTGCTATTGGTTTGAAGAAAGTGGCATCTGTGAATAGATTGTTTTTACTATACGTTCATTGAATTAAGCTTGGAATCGGTACTCGGTCGGATGGTTGAAGGCGCCTGAACGGTTGGGAGCACCTTGGGTGCCTTTGCCGATAGGCATCGGATTTCTGCCGTCAGCTTATTAATTTCTTCAGCCTGAGATTGCAGAACTTTTAGGCGATTCGCTGTTTCGACTCTGTCCTTAATGATTCCTTCACAAAGTTCTCTATTCTAGAAAATAAAAGAAAAACGTTTATATTCGTACTTTCTATCAAATTGTTTCACCTTCTTGTGCTCATTTTTAAATTATCCTTTTTTCATTCTACCCAAAATACAATTTTGGGTAAAAAGGTACCGATAAGGGTTGTGTCGGTTTTTGTTTAATGAATTGACTAAGTTAGCAAATAGTTATTTTGCAGATTGGGCATATCTAATGAAAAAGAGAAATATGGATTGTGCACTAACTGGATTGCGCATGTAACTGTCCATGGAGGCGGAGAGGGTTTGCAGCTCATTAAACAGCATGAGAGTTTTCACTACCAAACGAGTGTTCTCACGCAGCTGCGCGACGTAGATGTCTCGAGCATCTCGCAGGCGCTCTTCCGCCTCATCCTCTTCCCGTTGGATGCGCGCCTGTAACGCCAGCATGCGAAGTGTGATCTCTTCCACCTTGGGATGAATCGTTTCCAATTTTTCTAAGTCGTCCAGGCGACCGAACTTGTCAATCATCATCAGGTCGCACTTCACTGCCATCTTCTTCAACTCTTCCTGAAAACAGTAATCAAATCCGGTAGTGGCCCTGTCTGCCATAATTTGACAGCAAAAAGTGGTGGACTCATTTCCTGAACTCTATGTTGAGACTGTGAATGTCGCTTGGGTATTACAGTTATTCTGCAAATCAAGGAGCGTTTCGATTACCAACTTAAATAATCAAAACACAGAAATCAAATTTGACAGGAACCAATAATTTGCATCAATGAAACAAATGATGAAGTAATCAGAAGTTAGGAGCAGAAGGCCTCAATAAGTTGAACAATACTTTGCTGATGGGAGTAGCAGTAATCATGTTCATCATCAAAAGTGCCTTTGATCATTATCATGAATCAGGTGAATAGAATACCCTAAGGTGTTTTGTGCAATGCAGTATACAATAACTAGTGGGTAGGTCGATAATCTTTTCAATAAAGCATTTTTCAAAATGAAGAATAACAACTTTGGCCTGAAAGTTGTTCGGTCAACGCACCAGAAAGACTTTTTTGTGGCGTTGAAGCATGAGATGCTTCTCCTTAGCTTGTCTCTTCTCCTTCCGCTGAACACGTTTCTCATCCTCCAGTGCCTGAATGCGCCGTCGCAGGCGATTCACGTTGTCGTGCCTAAAGACAAGGATCGGTGCAAAGTCCTGCGGAAGTGACTTGTCCTCGAAGAAAATGACCTGGTCCAGTCGCAGACTGACCAAGCGCTCGAGGACGTTCAACTTCCTCTGTTTCTCCAACTAAAGTAAAGTCATATCCACTGAAAATAGCTCCTTTCAAATTTAAAGAAGTATTTTAAAAGACTTCAAATTGCTCTTGATTCTAATTATGTTTTGTGGCCTTATCTTATAGAGCCCAATTCATCATAAACTTTGATTGCATGTAGAGATGTGATGTTTAGTCATGATCGCAACTTTTAAAACAGCATTGAATAAATTAAAAATACTACATATTGAGAATATTTTAAATAATAAATCTAGGTAAGATTCTAAATGACCAGCATTATTCGGTTACAAATAACTCCTTAATATTTTCTTATCATTTTTGAATGTATATGACTGTCCACTTTTACCGGCGCAGAAGCATTTCGTTTTTTCCCACCGATTTTTTATTCCTAGTTTAGTTTTAGAACACAATTATGATCGAAAACATTTAGTTCCAATAAAAAATGAATTTAAATAACTTGTAATGCGTACGGAAATTGCCTTGCTTATAAAACTATAAACTAGGTGATCGAGACATGAAGCCGACACATTGATACCTTCCCCGTGTTTCCACACTCAGTGTTGGGAAATGTGACATCAAATAAAAAATAAGTTCATCATTAATCAGGGTTGGGACTTGGAAAACCTCTAGCCGATTGTAAAATAATGTAATGAAAAGCAGTATCAAATGTATCTCCTTTGGACATTCCAAAAACTCCACCGTACAAAAGCATGAGGCATGTAAAATAATAGCGCAAGCACTATAAAATACAACAAAGGGCCATGTAATTTGCAGTTTATCAACTTAAAATGACTTCAATGACTTATTAAAAACTCTTGTAAAAGAGTTGCATTTGGGTTTTAACTTTTGAAACAGATTATTAAGCATAGGTTAAACATTGGAAACTTGGGAAAAAAGATGTGCAAGCATTAATGCTCGTGAATGTGTAGGAAGTCGAATTTTTGACAGAAATAGAGCGGAGGGGTTGTCATACCTGAAAGGCTTGCAACTCCGCAGTAGCCTGTTGCAGACTTTGCTGCGCTGACCGTGACCGTTTGGCGAGGGCCTCCGCCTCCTTTCGCTGGGCTTCGAGGAGGCGTTTTTGGTCTGAGATCTCATCCTCTACATCGAGGCGCTGCTCGCGAAAGAAGATGGTTTGATCGAAATCTGCCTGCGCGCAGCCCGATGGGCAGATGTCGAGGTCAAGGATGTTACCTTCCTCGTCGTCATCATTCTCATTCTCCTCCGCCTCATCTGACTCGTTCCACTCCGAGTCCTCCGACGAGGATGACAATGACCCACCCGATTCCCCTTCGTCTTTTAGAGAAAAGTAAAGTGAGCGACATTGTTTCTGTTGCACAAGAACTAGCAATAAAAATATGAAATGAAAGAAATTTTGTTTCTACGAAATAGAGGTGAATATGTAGAGCCTGATTACCTACCCACATCTATTAATTCATTCTCAAGGTCAGTATATATAACCCTTACAATACATTCAAAAGCCTACTTTAACCAAAAAAGACTTTTGATGCCTTTTGCTAAAAAATGAACCACTACAAAATCATCAACCATCAGTTAATGCTCCATGCATTCAAGTCGTATTCCAAACAAGCGAAATCCCGGGTGGCAGTATAGTGAACCAGTTATGGCAAGTGAGATTTTCAAAACATGCTGTTAGATACATTTAAATCAGGGATTTCGCTGTGTAGCTTGAGCAACCTGGAATCGCATCCAATTATTACAATTTCAAAAAAAGTTGTTCCTACTTACTTATGCTTACAAACAGCATTCTACCAGAAGCCAGAAGTAAGCCCAATCTCATGGTGCGCATGACCTGCTATCCCTTATTATTTTTGGCAGAAATTCTTTCCTAACTTCAAATAACATCATTTGCCTACTCGAAAAAAGCATTTAAAGGTTTGAAGATAATGCTAACCTCGAAATTAACTATCTTCAACTGGCGATGGACTACTGTCTTACCGGTGGCAACACCTTTTACCTTCCGTTTGACCCTCTTTCTGTAGACCTTGTGGAGAAAATCGCCCCATTTGTGGTTTTCACCGAGGAATTCCTTGAATTTTTCGTGAACTCCGTTTTCTTTCGCTACCAATCGTTCGATGTTCGCCAACGTTTCTGCGATCTCCACCTCCGTCTCAGTAACCTTTAGGGATTTGGAGTGCAGCGATTAACACTTGAATGAATTTAATCACCACGACTGCAACTTCAAAGTTCTCCACAATACTATAAGTGATTTAAATGTGGAATGTATTATCGCACCAAATTAAACAATATGTTCATAGGAAATAGGCACGGGTGATTTAAAGCCCATTCGAATTCCTTTTCTCACTACTAAGAAGTTATGACTGTTTTTTCTATGAATTAATTGGGAATACTATCGTTAAATGTTAAAACTTATGCTGCTAAATTTCAAGCGCAAATTTCGGCAACGTTTCACGAAAAAGTAATAGCTAATTGCTTTTAAATTCTTGACGTGCTGAAGGACCCACCTTTCGGTCAACCTCATTCTTTTCCTCGGTTTTGGCCTCATAATTCGTTGCTAGACCTTGTTCTGCCTTTTCAAACTCGGTCAGTAGTTTGTACTCTTCATACAGAATGAGCAAATTAAGATTTGCACGCCCCATCAGCAAGTCAAGGTTCACCTTTTGATGACTCAATGTACGCAATTCCATGTTGAAGCAGCGGACCATGGCTCCAGCCTCAGTAACCAGATACTGCTGTTTGTAAAGAGCCCTTTCGTAGTGCAAGTTCTGTCGATCCATTTCCAAATGCATGTTTTCTTCCGAATCGTGTGAATCTGAGCTCTCAAAAAGGCTTGGATGTCCCCCATCTTTGCGTGTCGTGGCATTTTCAAGCAGACTTTTGGGACCCCTTTTCATCGAATCCTCTTCATCAATAGTGTCCACCACGCTGTCCGGTTGAAGAGGCTGCCTGGTCATCAAAACATGTGCTGAAGGCTGGAGCAGTTGCTCCTCTGGATACATGGAATATAGGGATAAGCCGACTATTTCTGGGCGGTGCGGAAAGGGAAGATCAAGGGTATAGAAGCTCTTAGGTTCAACTAGCCGTGCTGTTGAGACGAAAAGAACTCGACGATCATCGTGCATTACTACATTCAGTCCTGAAAAATCTGGAACGCATTCTGACCGTGGCTCATCTGGGTTGGACAACTAGAACAGGCTTTGTATGATGGTAAAAAAGGAGTCATACGGTCTTTTTCAGTAGGGGAAGTTTCCCATCTTCTGAAGGCGCCACAGCATTGACTGATCTTTTGTAAGTTTCCAAAGCGGTATCTGTGGCATCAAACGCCCTATGGAAGAGGAGACACGATTTTGGATCAAGAGCAAAGTGACTCACCTTTCAGGAAACTCATCGTCATCGAGGTTATCAATTTTCAGACGAACAACTATACTATTTGGAGGTAAATCCTCAGAGAGCTGTTTAAGAGATTCATCAATAATCTTCAGCTCTTTGATAATGGTTGCTTTTTTATTACGCAACTTCAAGAGACGCTGGTTGAAATCGTCTTGCCTTTGCGAAATCTGCGGTAATATAAGTGGTTGACACTAGAATGCAAAAGTAATTTTACCTGGGTAATTGCTTCAAGTAGGGTTAGGCGCGATTTAATGGCTGTGGGCTTCATATTTTCCGGTACAGAGTAACTGGGTGAGGATTTCAATTTGAAGTCGCCCATGTTGTTTTTGACGAACTCTATCGCTGCTACATCAAGGGGGTCTTCCCACTTGTTCGTGGGCTTCCTTGCGTACAGCTCCTCCCACTGATTAGAAGACAAAAAATGGTGACCAACGTTAGGTTAGTTTATGTTCTTAAAATGAACATTTTAGATTCAAACATGATTTACTCAAGCTAAAGTAGCTTATCAACGATAGAATCAGGAAAATTGTTAGGCTGCAGAATTACGTCCTGCCCTGTAGCCTGCAATGCAAACGACTTCGAGATACCCTTATTTCTAGCATGGTGTTAGGTAGAGTTTTGCTCCCGCAAACAATTCTTTATTCGAGGTCATGCATAATTTTTCCGTCTGTTACTGATTCTGGATCTCCGAAAAGTCACATTTAATGTCATTCGCTGTCGATCTGATTTATAAGAAATGACTGTTGAAAACTCTTTTTGATAATTGAAGAAAGGACATCATTCAGAAGGATGATGCAGTTATAGGTTTTAGGCTACTACTTCTCTTTACAGGGCAAATTCCACAAAATTTAAACGCAGATCACCTGCTGACGACGTTTCTCGCGCTTCAGTCTGGCCACTTCCAAGGTCTCCAATTGCCGCATATAGCGAAGGCCTCTTGCACCTTTGACTTTCGAGCGCTTGATCAAATCCAAATTGCTTGCCGATAGGATCTCTGTCACTCGGGACTGCGACTTATCTTATTAGAGTAAAGGATGATCATATTTTTTCTAGCACAAATTGCCAAAAATACCTATGCAAATATATGGCATCGTACGATTAGCTTTCCTGGAATTTGTCTACACAAACTCAACTGAGGTGAAAGTTAGCTATAGGAGAATATCAATACATATTTGGGCCAATCTATATTAAGTTTTAAATCAGTCAATCAATCATCAGTTGTAATCAAGTATGCTTATCTGGACAAGAGAACAATATGTGATAGAAGACTCAAGCAAACTTGGCCAACTGATTAAGACTGCCATTTATAGAGGCACAAATGAAATTACCCGTGAAATATCTTATTCATCACTTAATCTCCAACCAAGCACATAACAACTATGATTGTAAGCTGGAAACCCTTACCTTGAGTTATAGTTTTCCGTCTACTTTCCATTTCTGCTTCTCGCTCCTGCCTTAACTGGTCCTCTAGTAGCTGCATCAGTTCAAAGTGGCCTCGAGGTAGCTTGATCTTCCTTATTGAACTGACCCAATCGTTAGTTCCGAAAGCCTTTAGCACAATGTATTCACAGGCTAGATCCTTTCTAAATCTAAAAAAATGGAAACAACATCTCTTAAAATAACGTAGAGAAGTCATTTTTGGCTCAAAAGTGACAGCGACCAAATCGATTGAACTAGGAACTTTGTTGTTGTTACAGAGTATCATATCAGACAATCCGATCTAGTTGATAAAATTGAGACAAAATCCGACCTATTGATCAACTTTTGAAGCGCAATTGATTTTTTCCGACTTTGGAACGCCACTTCTTTGTATAATATATCCATTTGTTTCTGTCGCTGATTCATGAGCTGTTCTCTCAATCGTTCCAACATTTCGTACTCCTTTGAATAATAAAGGAAATTAAATCAAGCTAAGTCAATGCAAGTAAAGGTATCTTGTGAACCCTTCTAGGTACCCGACTGTTTACGCGCATATGAGAGGGCAGTCGGTCATTCTGCTCTTTCAGTTGCTTGAACCGCAGTCGCAACTCCGCAATCTGCTTTCTGGTTTCCCGTTTCTTTTCCTCTCCAGCCTCAACAAGTTTATCCCATTCCATCTTTTTACGTGCCTGTTCAATGCTGAACTCATTAGCATCTTGAATATCCTCTTCTACAGGTTCGTGCTGTAAAGTAAGCATGTGATATTGTCAAAATTTTGAGGATTAGCTGATGTCATTAATAGATCACTTTGGATATTCCCAGACCAAAAGTACTAAGTCAGATAAATGACCAAATTTTGAACTTATCACACATATGTTAAACTTTTACTCATGCAAAAGCGAAAAACTGCTACTTGGTTAGGCAAAAGTTTTAGTAATCTAGTTAAAAAGGCGGCCATCAGAAACAATAGGAAAGGGAAAATGGGGTAATGTAAATATCAACCTATTTTTATATTTAAATGATTGCCATACGGTCACTGAAAAAGTTTCGCAAAAGTTGAGAAACTTTAAATACTTACATTTTCCTATAATTCAAAGTACAAAAATAATGTTGAAAGCGTTTACGAAATGTTACAGACATTCAATACTTAAGGATAATAACATGGGATAGTCGGGTGGAATTTCGTTCAAATACAACAATTTCATCAATATTGGTTACATTAATAAGATATAAAAAGCGAAAACTGAGGAGATGAATCAAAAGGGAATTGTGCGTCTGTTATAACAATAATAGGCCCTAACAAAGTTTAGCAGTGAGTTGAGACTTACACTGGAGGAAGGAAGTTTGACTAGCAGCTTGCCAACCTCCTGAGCTTGAAATGATTCGGACATCAACTCCAGTACGAAGAAGGTTCCATCTCCTCCAACCGTTAGGAGAAAACTAGGGTTTCATGACGACAAAGCAAAGAGGTAGGGGTTTTGAGAAAAATTGTTAAAAATACTAACTGAAAAATCATTTCAGACCACTGGATATTTTCAAATCCAAGCAAATGCTTACCTTCTACCCTACCCTATGATTCCCTTTCCATAAGGAAAATGAAGTAAATTTATCATGACTTTCATTCTTTTGGTTGATTTCCATTAAAGTAGTGTGTAAACGACTTTACTGAACGTAAACGTGAGCATTTAGAGAAGGTGAAACTCCTTAGACAAGTGGTGCCAGGAAATAGTGTGTTCACCGCTGTTGTCACACAATGAATACGCTCATAAATGGCAAGGTCAGCCTTGCTCACCTATCGTCGAAGGTGAGTTGAACTCGGTTTACAGGTCCACGATCGTTGTCCGAAAAAGCGTACGTCCAGAAAGCGCCCATCTGACTGAAATCAAAAGCCTTTTCTAACATTTGAACACGTAGCAATCCATTCTGGAAGCCCATGACCACGCGACTACCACTGAGACTGAACTTCCACGAGAGCAGTGGTGAGTCGTTACAGTCAATGATTTTTGGAGATTGTAGTGGTTTCATTGATCGCACTCGCGGAAGCACCATCTCCAGCTCCGTCAACTCTCGCTTTTCAACAGCTTGGTTTTCTCCGGTCTTTGGAGGGGCGTCCATTAGGTCCATCAAATTGCACTTGTACATGTAACCAGCGTCAAAATCACCCTTGTTTTGCAAAAATATGTATTATAAGATAAATCAAATTTCATTGGAGAAAATGACTAAGTAATTAATTTTTCCATGAGTAAAAAGGCTAGCAAGGAATATAAACTGAAAAATGAGTTAGAGTAAGTGCATATTATTCGATCTGCTGTAACAAAATGTACTCTAAAATTCATTAAAATGAAAGAACGATAAGGTGGAAATGGGTTAAATGAAAGCAAAACAACCATAATGCTGAAATCATTATGGAGATCCCAAACAAACTAACCATATTAATCCACACAAGGTGCGGATCTTCAAGACAAACCATCCCTCCAATGATTGGTGAAGGCTTTTCAGGTACGATTGCTTTTATTTGGGATAGCTCTTCTTCGAGTTTTGCGTGCAGTCGTTTCTCGTCTAACAATTAAATAAGACGAGAAATAGAATGTGATGAGCGTGGCTTGTGATGGCTTAATGATAGCCGCATTCTGCGTTACCAATAGACTTATCCGCATCAACCAAGTAATTTCAAGTCAAATTTTGTAGATGCTGTACTTTTCTTTGTTTTTAAAAATGAATTTAAAGCAACTACAACGAATAAAATAAATGATTTGTACTTTGTAGTAGTAAGAATCATTCATTTTTTCCATCGCACTGCCTTACCCTCCATGGCTTTTGTCAAATCCTCTTCATTAATGAGACCTTCATTGAGAAGTTTTTGTGTATTTTCTTGTCGCTTCTTCTTGGCCTCCTCATAAGCCGCTCGACGGGAAATGTTCTCTTCTATCACTCGCAAACCTCCGGCAACACTTTCCATTTGAAAACCTCGAATCGGTATCGCGTCGGTTATCTCAAATGTCCCTTTTTCCGGGGCTTTGCGTAATGGCACTAATACCTGCAAATTTTATTACCTACTCAAATCGTATTCATTAAATCTAGCAGTAAATATGACATTCGGAAAAAAACGTCATACAAGTGTATGTTATTTAACCCTATTTTGCCGAAAAGAGTACCTCAATCACGCAACTGTTGTCTAGGAAGAGCAGGAGAGTTGGTATTGTGTCCTTCAAATTCGGGTAGCGCCATTGGATTTTCATAGCTTTCGTGGGAATTCTAACAAATCCACTTGGTACGATACGAAGACCGTCAATGTGGAATAGGAAAATAGTCTTATCAGCACTCTAGAATACATAAAAAGTGGTGTTTGGTGCTTTCGTACCGGCTTAAAATCAAATTGAATTAGATTTGAGAGGCGGAGCACCACATAAGGTACATGGGTCGGTTGAACTGTGCATCGATGTTTTGAAATAAAGATGATCGTTTAAAAAAAGATTTTTGCAGCATATGGGCGTTTCACATTAACTTTAAAATGAAGGCAAAGCTTGATATTGAATCAAAACGATTGATAATAAATTACACCTGCAACAATGCACTCCTTCAATGAATGAGCTCACGGCGGTAGCGAAGAGCACTCCTTCCGGGTCGTAGTCCATGGTCATTACGGCGTCCGTGTGTGGTTTGAGCACTTGCATGAGCTCGATGCTGACCACCTGAGAAGATGGATTTTCTTCGTTCTCAACATCATCGGACGTGATTTGCATAACACGGACTACACCGTCCGCAAAACCAGCCACTATTGTCTTTCCCTTTGGGTCAATCTACCGGATAAGGCAAAAGATTACTTCTAGCATAAAAACCTGATTAATTAATCCATTTTGAACTGTAAAATGGATCCAAAAACATACATGCGTGGGAGCCCAAATCAAACAGTGCCCACAGGCATTGAAACGCTTATAACCTAACATCGCCTTCTTGAGTACATCGAAAACCCGAACACTGCCTAAAGTTAAGAAAGTTGTCACTTTTACTAGAAAATAATATTCTCGCCGCCTATCATGAACAATAATTATGCAGAGATTTATAAAAACGTTAATTTAATGCGTTTATGAGAACAAACCATCAGAGCCGAGCGTAGCAGCGAGATAAGACTTTGGTGCAACCGCACAATCCACAATCGCCCCTGCATGGTAGGGCAAAATCAGCTGCGGTGAAGCAGATATGTGCGAGAAACTCAAGTCTAACTTCCATATTCCATCGTTGGCGTCCTACATGAGATTAGGAACAAATTAAAACTGTGATCACTTCTGCTTTAGTGACGAAAATAATTTACCACAATTAAGATAATAAATGGGTTAACAAAAATTCCTAGGTAATATCAGGGCACTGGGGCGAAAGAGAAATTTATCACTGACTTACAGATTAAACTCACTCTGAGCTTATAAAATAGCAAAATTAAACCGATTAATGAATGTTTCTCCTAAATAATAATCTGTAACAAGTTTTGTGAAATTATCAGCTTTTTAATGCACCATTAATTGGAGTAAACAAGCCGCCACTTTGCCCACATTCATGCGCCTCATTTGCACCGAAAATCTAGGAAAGTATGCATACATTTTACACATCAAGATGATTAGCTTGCATTCACATCTACACAACTTTTGCAAAATTTCCGACACATTGCATTACTATTCACCCGTATCTTTATCATTGAGGTCAGATTTATTGCAAGCTGTTCGAAGCATTTGTGTAATGCTACTCACCATACAATACCAAAAAACCGTCCCTCCGACTTCCACCTTCTGCAGGGACATGAGTTTTGCATGAGGTGAAACACGCAGCTCATTCATCGGTTCCAATTCCAAAAACGTCCCCTCTTCTTGCGCCTCAGCCTGGTCAATTGCCTCGAATTCCCAGGTCTGGAAAATCAAATCAATGTTTTCTTCCTTCACCTTGAAGCGCTTTAACATTATCATCACCACCAATCTTGCCGTCTCACTTACACGAACATAGCCATCCGTGCCGATAGTGAAGAGTTCACCTTCATAGATGAGAATATGCATGATGAGCCCATCATGACAAGGCGATCCGTCCTTGCGGCATATTTGCACTTTGATCAGGTCCCCCTCCCACAGCAGAAGGTTCCCCCATTCGCAGCCTGAGAGCACCTTTCCATCAGGCATGATAACGAAACCCTCGATGTCGGAAAGCTCTACCTTGCCGAACTTCCCAATGCTTCCCTGCAGCTTGAGCCCTGTGAAGGTCTTTGCCATCTTCCAAAAGCGGATGTGCCCCAAACCTGCAGTAACTAGGACGCCGCGCAGGTCATCCGACCAACGCACTCGAAAGATCTCCTGTGAGAAGGCCTTGTTACGCAGGACGATTCGCTCCTCGCGCCAATCCCAAATTGTCAACAGGTAGTTGGGCTCATCTCCCACTGTTGCGATCAGCGATCCATCAGGACTAAAAGTGAATATAAATGTTAAGGATTTGTTAATTACCGCAACGTTTTTAATTGCTCGTTGTTGTATAATTTTTTTTAAAAGTCTCGTCGAAAACTCTCTATTCGACTTCATCCCCAATCCGTACCTGTTAAACCAAAATTGTACAAATTTAAACCAAGTGTGACACTGGAATCCACCTTCTTAAGTATGACAACTATTTCTATGTAAATTTTCGCATTAGAACATAAAAAGCCGTTGTTAAAAGGGGAAGAAAATGTTTGGAAGCTATTTTATGGGTATGTCATTGGCACAATTAGAATTGACTTAAAACTATTTCATATTTTCAAATCCTATTATGTGGACAATATGCCAGTTAAAAAATTTTATTGAGATAAATTTTATCGGTGTTAGCACTTTTCATTGCATCTCCTCTAAAGCGCCACTGTCAAAAGGATTACGTGTAATTGTTTCGCAGTACATTCGAGCAAACCGTCATAAAAGTAAAGAGTTCAATTGCACATATTAAAGTAATTAAAAAAAGCCCTTCTGAATAAAAGGTTCATGCATGGTTAAAAGCATCGGTGAAGTTGTAAATTGCGTTCAATTTAATCAACAAAATACTAAGCCGAGTATTAAGAAACACAGGAATTAAGGTTACGACTTTCTTAAAGTATCAAAATTTCTCCTGATAACACAATAAAACAAATCTCAAGGTGCTCATGTTCAAAGAATTGTTCCCAAAGCAGTTGAACATAAAAATACATGGTCAAAGAAAACAGAAGCATCAAGAATTCTTCTAAAAATGGCCGCATGCCCAATTGCAGAAGCTGTTGTGTAGTCAATGCTGGAATAAAACTCATCGGCACGAGACTTGCGTAAGTATTTTGCAGCAGAACAACTTTTGACAAAGAGCAAAATTATTCGATTGCTAGTAGCCCGAACTTACGTAAAGTGGCACGAGGTATAGGCAACTTGGGTGCCCTCTCGAAGAATACGGAAAAGTTTGAGACTGGGGTACTCGTAGATGCAAATGTTAGGCAACTCGCCCTTCTCTGCTACAGCTATGTGTGTACTTTCAGGATGGACGTCAGCAGCGCCGATGCCAAGGCCTCCAGTAGAGCGAAGGTAGTTACGTTCTCCATTAACAAGGTTGCGGATTTCGAAATAGTTTCCCACCACAAAACCCACACTATCAGTGCCGAGAATTTTAAGGTTGTCTCGGCGAAGGGTGTCGCAGCCGAAGGAGTGGTAGAGCTTTAATAAGTTCTCAGGCAAGCCGCTCTCCTCTGGCATATGCGGTGTGGCAACTATGGTCTCAAGATCGTAGTAAAAGTCATCAGGTATGTGTTGGGTCCAATTATCAGCGGAGCCATCCTCATCTTCTTCGTTCTCTTCCTCCTCATTCTCTACCACTTGGTTCACATTTTCTGCTCTCCTAAATGCCGAGCCCGGATTTCCGCCTGAATCAGCAACTTTGCCAATTTCTTTATCGCTGTTTGCATAACTACCTTCGTCCATATACTACCTGAAATGGTTAACAAATATCTAATATTTTTTATCGACTACCTCATTAATATTAAGTAAATAACTATTTTTGTCCCCGCATAGTACTAAAAGTTACATTAATAGTTGCCAACAACATAACCGCTTCTAAAGCATTTCGGGTTTAAAACATTAATAGAATAAATTAAGGAGCATTACATTCATACAATGTAGTGCAGACAATCAGGAGTAAAAGCAATAAAAACAAATATAAGGTCAATCTAAAAATTAAAAAATTGAAAAGAAACTAGGGGGTTCCTGCATTGGGAAGCAGTAAAGCCTACAAAATTTCTAACGAGCGAGGCGAAAAAAAATTGCAGAAGGTAGACTATTATGAATGACTACAAGTATGTACAGAAAACGTGTTAATTATTATTGTGGTCATAGCTAATGGCGGCAATTGCAATGATAAATGCCCATTGCAACATAATCAACAAAAACCCAACCAACTTCGAAATCGTGTTTTGCATGTTTGCTATGTTGCTGGTATATTAAAACGAACAGGGTTGTTTTGAAATTTGCTTTTTGTAAAGAGAAGTAAAAAAATTAACATGAAGGCTTGTGGTTTTTATTTGTGTTATATAATTATGTCAAAGCTATGCTGGCCCTTTTTGTGCTACATTCATTCACACAGTTGATGACAAGGTTCTACAATTAATCGTATAGTTGAAACCTGCTATTACATCATTTAGCACATCTAAACCATTTGAATTTTATATTTAAAATATTCTGCTGGCTTTTTTAGTAGTGCTCATGGAATTACTTTTAGCTTTACCGCATTCTGATAAATTTGCAGATCATAATTTGTTTCCAACCACCTCACGACTTCCAGTGACTAATTTCACTGTAGTCTGGCTATCGTTAAACTGTATAAATAGCTTCTCGGTCTAATCAATTTAAGCAGTTTGTACCTCCTCCTTTGCAGCACGATCATCCCATGCACTTTTACCAACACATCTATGAATGACTTTGATACCATTACTCGTTAATACTAAGTCTTTTGCCATACCAATAGGGCTGACAACAATTTGCAGAAGAGTTCTAGGGGGCTGCAATCATTATTCCTACAGCTTCTGTTTGATTACTTATATAATTACCTTAACCACTTATTATTTATGGGGTATGGCTGGCTACCTGCTTTGTGAAGGGACTATAAATATCTGGCATATAATTGATTTCGTGTTCATTGCTCAGTTATGCGGATTTTATATTGCTCAGTGTGAGTTTTATGCAATGTGTTTTGCATGTGTTGGCCGCAAGGTATCCTTGTTACTAGTTGGTTTGCTGTGAGATTCCAGATGACATGTAATCAAATATAACCAAACAAACATGTGACACTTTTTTGAAGAAATATTCCAGGAAACCTGTAAGAACTTATTCTTTAGAGGACGCTGTATCCCAGTTATGACGGCAGATCGATTTTTCTGAAGCTTAAATACGATACACCACTACTTCTTTCCTCGTACCAGTGACTAGCCACGACTACCTACAGTGGGATCTAATTAGTATTTTCACCCAAATTACTAGTACTCTTAAGCGATAATTATTTGTTGATAGTGAAGTGAAGACTTTGCTCATTTAAAAGGTTTTGGGCTAGTATTTTAGCAAATTTCTGAATGACATTAAGATGAGTAAATGCAACTAAAATAAGTTGATAGCCGAACACTGGGGCCTTACTTTCCCCGACATTACGAATTCTGTTGTTTAGTGCTTGGGTCGTGGTGAAGAATTTACGGTGCTGCATAATGCGTAGACCGGCGAAAAAAGAGCATAATTAATAAGGTAATCATTAACACAGAAGTAGTTTATTTGCAAACTAAACTGCTTCATGTTTACTGTAAGGTTTCACTGGGAACCCGAACCGTGGTGCAATTGTGCATTTATGCAAAGTAGCAATGATGTTTTGACCATAGCTGCTATGGTAGAAACCTTTTGAAATAGTCCTACCACAAATTTAAGGGGTAAGGCTTTAATATAGATTATGGATATCAAAATATTCTGGTAGAAATCGGTTTCCAGTGTTTGAGAGGTCGTCAGAAATGAATTTTAAGGCATTAACGCAAATATCACAACCACATCAAATTATTATGCCAGTAGCACTTGTCCCCTAATAAAATCACCCAGGCGATTAGACGGTGTATGGGGAATTGATAAACTTGCAGGCTTTAGGAGACTTGATGCCTTATAATGCTAGCGCACACTCTAGACAACGTGTTTGCGTCCGCCTGAATCTTGCCGGACTGCTGTCGCCTTGACAAAACCGGAGTCGTGAAAATGAGCGAAAGACCCAATTCCGTTCAAAATGCAAGGGTATTTTGCTTAACTCTTCCATCTTCTGCAAGGTATACAGTTTATTTTATTTACTCCCAACACACTAATTTTCATAAAATCCTTCCGTTTTGTTCTAAGGTGCATTAAGGCTTTAAAATTGAAGTGAATTTCCGGAAAAATAATGGGTCCCCACAATACGTGTCTCTAATACATGGAAAAATGTGGTATAACTATCACTTTGTAGCAGTAATCTCCACTGAATATAATAAAAATAGGAATTTAGCAATAGTAAGTTTTTGCTGTCAGTCTGTAAATTTTTCGAAGGCTTCCATCCACAAGATTTTTGACATTCACAATTTTCATTAAAACTTTATTTCTCTTAGAATTGAATCTGTTATTTATAAGTCAAACTGGTTGAAAACATTGGCAGCTTATGTTGTTCTTTTGTGGATTTTCCACAAAAACATATTCTTGTGTCTAACCCATGAAAACGCCTCGTTTTTGTTTACCTTCTTGCCCCATTATAGTGGGATGCCCTACTCGCCCCATTGCGCTAATTAATTTGCAAACAAATTTGTAATTTGTTGGACGTTTAACTCTCGGTTTGTGATAGAAGGGCCACTTAGGGGGTCAACAATTGTGCGTTTGTTGGGAGGGCCATGTAAGCAGCTCCAAGCCCTGCTGTATATCGACAGTGAATTTTCCGTCCTAGTATTATGGCTTCTTGCGTCTCTCGGAAAGCCTTGAGACTCCGCATAATCACGTCATCGATCGACTTGTCAGCAACCTTTGGCAGCTATACTGAAAGCACGTGATGGCACTACTCACCACTTTTAAGACGATAGTGAATTTATTTATAAATATGATGGAATGAAGAAAATAGATGCTCAAAAATCCACTTGGCGGAGCACTCCCTGGTACGAAATCATTATGGCGTTGAAAATTGATGAGTGTGGAATTATTTCACTCAACTTTATAATAATCACTGGCAAGAGGTATTATGTTGTTTACTGTTAATCTTCTTACTAATGCTTTTCTTGAAAAAGATTTTAAGCTTTAAATGGTTGAATTCAGAGCCGTAACCACAAATTATAGCAATTCTGACGTCTCCAAATCTAGTAAAGTGTCTGCCACCTTTAAATACAGCAAATAAAACAATTTGCATCTAGATGCAAAATCGGCCAGTAGGGACGACTAAGTGCTCGTCCGTGTTTTGGCTGAACAGTTGAATACTCGATTAGTAGGTTGCGAAACCAATCATCTGAATGCTCACAATGCGCAAAACGCAGCTTGATGGATTTACTCAAGCCTTACCTGTGTTTCGGCGCAATATCAGGTCTCGACTCTTCACCCCTGCAACGAATCAGCAAGGTGGGTTCACTGGTCTCCGCGATTGTGCACGTAGACTGGCCGGAGTTGCTTCATTAATTCGGGAACGTTCAATTGAATTGTCACATGATGAGCATACTTCTAAATCTGTGCCAGCACTAGATTCGTGATATAAATTTAGTATGATGCGGATCTCCATCAATTAGAGATTACCATTTATGATCGAATTCACTGTTGCACAATACGTCATTTTTTTGCACACTGTTAATTCATGTTGCATCAGGGCATAATGATTATCTTTTAAAAGTGGGCACACAGATAAAATTTATCGTATCATACCTTACGTATTGGTTTTAAGCCAGGAAATTGTGAAGGGGGCAAAATTTTGAGACTCACGTGGTCAATTTTAAATGATTCCCTTAAAGCAGCAGATGATCCGTAAGTGATCGCACGCGGATTTCTTTTCAACTGCAGCTAAACAATCGAAATCCTGGGAATGAATGATTCAACTTCTGTAGGACGTTTAGATAATGCTCAGAAAGTAATCGTCTTTGCAGGAGTCTTAAAAGCCGTACACTAACGCATAGTTTTTCGGTGAGTTAAGGTTTCATTTGGGGTAATCAGCGTAATGTCATATCCATACCGCAGATTCATGAAACGTAGGAATTCATCTAATTTACAGGAACTGGAGCACGGTCGCGGTGTTCGATAGAGCTAGTGTGGAAACAATGTGTGATAGAAGCAGAACTTATTGTTATGTATGGAAGCTAATCACGACGGATTGCTATACGAGGAGCTCTGTGCCGGTAACTGGGTTTTCAGTCATCTCGGTTAATCTTCCTTTATCACTGCCACCTTAATCTCATGCCCTATTTTTCCTAAAATATCGCCGATCGGAGGCAGGATGTTACTTCTGCTGCTAAGTAAATAGACAAACGTGGTGGGATTTTGTCATTTTGCGAGCGATACAACTTTATTCAACCATGCAGAATCTGAATCTCATGTACCTTAGTTGGATGGGAAGCAAGGATTGCAAAAATGTTTCCGTAGCATAATTCCCAAAACAGCTCACCGGTAACGCAATCGAATTCTCCTGCTGTGGCCTGATACGCTCACTTTCACTCGAGTCGTTTGATGTTTTCATGAATAATCCTCGACTTCATTTGCTTAGTAAAAAGGGTTTTTTGCGGAAAACTTCAACGATTGTTTTTGGCCGGGAGTCTTAGAGAGAGTTTAAGTATTACCGACAAGGGTACGTACATCCCACTCAAGTTTTGAATAGTTCTTATGCACCACAGTTTACAGCCTACACGCTCAGAATGAATTTGCATGATATCAAATTGATGGTTCCGCACGGCTTAATGTGTCTGCTTGGACGTGAAGACAAGCTCAGGATCCGCCATCCACCCGTCAGTTACAATAGAACCGAGCGGAAGGATCTAAGCACACGATCCCCACCACCCTCAGACCCAAATTTCAGCGCCCACTAGGACAGACGCTAAGGCCGCACTGCAGACAAGGTGTCAAGACGATAGAAAGGTAAACGAAAAACTTCCCCCATCAAATCACGCTTCCACTTCCCTAAACTCAGGGGAGGAGATAGTTTCATCCTTGTTAATTTATTGCTTCAGTAGGCTTCCTGGTACACAAACGAGGGCGCCCAAAAAGAAACCAAGCTTGAAATCATCTGGTCAGTAAAATAAATGTTCAGAGAAGTGGAGAGTTGTAGTATCAGAAGAGAAAAGACGAAGAGAAAAAACAAGGTACAGTGAACAGCGACTAAAGAGGTAAAGACAGAGATAAATCATAGTAGCAAGAAACCACACGAAATGCCAGCCTTTCATTTCACTAGTAGAAAAAAACATGATAACGTACATGCGTATGAGCGTACTTTTCTCCGGTCTGTTTCAGTCCTACAGGTAGGTCTCAGATTAAACGGGTTTTGGGGACAATTCTTATCTCGTTCTCGTTTAAAAAAGTGGGTTGGTGTGTAAGTGGCATCCGAACGGGTACCAATGGAAGGGAGAATGGTGGTATTTTTCGGGTATAAAAAAATATTCTCACAGAAAGACGGACTGCAGAAGTGGGGAGGGAACTGTAGGGCAGGGGCGATACAACTCAAACAATCCCGTCACCACTACCGCCCCCACCGTTGTCACCATGGCCACCGGCAGTATCCTCGGCTATGCCTTCAATTATGTGGATAGCATCAGCGTGACAGGCAGCGACGACGAGAGAGGTTGGGCACCACGACACACTGATCCACTTCTTTACAGAGGCTGGCGTGAAAACCGAGGTGATGGGCAGTTCTCTGGCTATTTCTACCGAACCAATGGTCCCAGATTCAGACAGCCCATTGGACATCTCCATTCTCAAAGGACGAGGCCAGGGAGCTGTGGCCGAGTCCGGTGTCGTAACATCCGGTGAATGACCATAGAAACCCGAGTAGAGATGAGAATCATCCGGTTCCATCTTAATGTTGTAAATACCGGGAGCACCCAATGATCTGTCGACTATGCGTATGTCCGACTGGTAGGATCCAGTTACTATAAACCTACAGGGAGGGAAGTTCGCCGCACAAGTGTGCACTAACCTATCGTCTGAGGAAAGAGAGAGCTTAAAATCATCGAAGAGCAGTTCCGTCTCGTAGATGCTGTTTAAATACGGCCGCAGATGTGACTGTACTGGATAGACTTCAACAGGAGCCGTTGTATTTGCCAGATCCCAAACTGCAGAAAGGTTAAAACGGAGGGGGTGTACTTACCTTTGACGGACATAAAGTCCCGAGAAACAATGAATCTATCTGAGTTATTGAGGAACTTCAAGTCGGCAATGGAACTGAGCAGGATAACGATGACGTTTTGCTCGGAGGCTGGAAGGTTGTCGATTGCTGAAGGAGAGAGGTGGTGTAAAGGTGGAAAAGGAACGCCTACCCAGTGCGGGTTTATCACAAAGTGCGGTACTACGAGTGTCGCAAATCCGAAGGGAGCCACGATTGGTGCTATAGGCAAATAATGACGGCGAAGAGGGTGAAGTTGCCAAGCCCGTGATCAGATGAGTTATATCCTCGATACGATCAGGCATCAGGTCAACGATGGCTGAAGCAAGTGATGAGTTAGGGGAACCAAAATTTTGAGACAAAACAAGTAAATAATAGGAAAATGAAAGTGGACGTAAGTCCTAAAAGGGTACTGAACGCTTCGTAGTCAACGTCATAGTGCCAGAGATTGATTCGCAGCGGATCCGATGATAGAAACGTTTGTTGATCGAGAAAAAGGGCAAGCCCCGTAAGAGAAAAGCCATGACCACGGGCATAAACCTTCTTGTTGTAAACCCTGACTACTTTGTTCTCCGTTGGCAGCGACTTCCATCGGGGAACCTTGATGTCTGAGTTGGAGCGGATGGCGACTTTTTTGCGAGAACCAGACTCCGTGGGGAAGTTCAGATTATCCATTTCACGAAGAGGAACCTCTGCTACCCTCCAGAGTTTTATGGTTCGCTCTAATTTTTCGAAATGAAAAAAAGTAAACAAATGCTTATAGTTGCCGAAATATTGACATCGGAGACCACACAGAAGACACTCACCGTTTGCAGATAGAAAAAAGTGGGAGGGCCCGCAACAGTTAAGCCAACGAATAAAAGTGAGTTTTTCTTCAATCGCTTGAGATTTAAGACAGTCGAATTCGGGTTCATGACTCAAGAAAGACTGATAAGGCTTTGAACATGCGTGAGTGGAAAAGCCAACATCCGATCTCTATAATCGAAGTTTGAAAGCCAAAATATCTAACACTTTGACCCAGTTCGAGGATGCTTAAGATTCCATCAGAGTTACCATAGGCAAGATGCGTGCCTTCTTTATTGAATTCTAAGACAGATATGGCTACATCGATCAGTGAAAATCTAATTAATTGGCATACCCCCAGATCCTTGAGTGCGGTTAAGTATCTCATTACAGTAAAATTTAACATGGGAATTGTCTACCAAATCACCTTAAAGAATGCGAAACTTACGATCAACCGAAATAGAGCCTTTTACTCCGACACCTGAACTTGTCAAAGGCAAATCCATTTTCGAAGGTAGCGGGATAAATGAGAACCATTAAAAAATACGTCTATGATCGTACGCTTTTAAAATTTCATTGAATACTAAAACAAAATACCTATATAACCACAATGCTATAGTACGCAACTTGTCATTGATTCAGCCTAAGTTGAGAATAGTGTTTATTTGTTGGCATTCATAAAGAGCATAAAATACCGAACTAAGTCCATATTACTAAAAAAGGTATTACCAATGAAACCTTGTGAAACAAATATTTGTTAGCAGTAATTGTTAAACAAAATCTACGAACAGAGTACTTTGGGGGCAGAAAAACACTAAAAACATACTAAGAAAATTTTGAGATCCAAACGCCCTAGCAGCGTGCTTGATTGTTCATGTGACCATGCAAGGGCTTACATTTCCATAAGCTGCACTTCCACTGGGCGGCTTGGCCTCCTGATCATGCCCGTGGTGTCTTAGCCTCTGCATGTAAGTAAAGTATTTTTTGCTACACTACCCTATAATCTTAAAATCGAGAAGGATTGGTGAATCCAAGCCACTAGTCACCATCTAAGGAGACAAAGTTATATGAAATAATGTGACTTGAATGATCGAGATTAGTGCACTTTCATCCTTGACCAAAGTAATTATTATATGTTGGAATATTGTTAAAAAATTTTGCTTCCCTTTTGACATTTTTCTCTGATACGTAATCTGCAGCACATAATAATATTTAAGGCTATGTTAGTAATGTTGTGCAATTTCAAAAGTCATAAAAATGCCTACTAAATTTGTGCCAAATATTTGCAAAATTTGAGTCTTAAGTGTTATACTGAACTATAGACGGGTTTTGGCTATGCAAAAACTTCACATCACATGGAACAGCTGAAGCAAGCACTAAAAGTTTTGCAAATAAAATGGCATACAAATCGCTTTGATATCTTTTGGCGCTTTGGCTGCAATTAGGCGTTTGTTTTCACAACATCTTTTTATTTGACTACTTTGACGACACCTAATCCCTTCTGTTGATTGGCTCGCATTGTTTGCCTGCTCCGCGGCCTGAATTGACCCGTTTCCACACTGAAGGCATGCAGGTGCATGACGTTATAACGATTTCGTCTCTGGGAGCATCAAAAAGTACGACAACTCTTATATTTTAAGAAGTTTCCTTTAGCCTTTGATTTTGCCTCCCACATGCTTGTCGATTCAGGATTGAGCTTTGAGGATGCACGAACATTTGCCTGGGACACAAATGCTGGACGGGTAAATCTTTGATTTTCAATTATCGATTCAGATTTTTGCTGCTGGAAAGGCCAAAATTCAGGGCATTTTATCAGTTGGTGGATCGGCAATATCTGTTAATTGCTTCTCTTATGAATCAGACCCCACCATCCCGATTGGACTCTCAGTAATCGATGGGTTATTCACATATGCTTGAATTACCTTTTTTTATAGAGTCCTAGTTGTTGGTAAGGCCTCTGGAAAAGCTTTTGTAATCGACCTGAGTAATCTTTCTTTGAAGGTATAGGTTCCTTCCTAACCTCTGATTATCTCTCTAGTATGAAGTTCCTGTTGCCAGCAATCTAAGTGTATGCAAAAGCTATCAAAAACATATGATTTGTGGTGGCAAAGATGTTCTTTTTTCACTTTGGAATTTGGAATGGCCTACTTCTCCTGTATTTTCTGCAAAGAACGTTCGACCTGATACGTTGGATCTGGAGGTCCCCGTCTGGATCTCTGATGCCTCCTTTGTTGAAGGCTATGAAGATCGCCTCTTTATGACCTCATCAAAATATGGTGATGTAAGACTCCTCAATTTGTGTTGAAGTTTCCAGTTTTGCGTTTACGATGTTCGCAGTGGTCAACGACGTCCTGTGTCTCGCTCAGCCTGGAGAGTGAGTCGAAAACAGGGCAAAAAGTCGGTCGGCACAGGTCGGTATCCTGCGATGCTTCGCGATCTTGCTGTCACACGTCCCGTCACCCGCTGCGTTGCTTACACCTCTGCTCCAGGAGTTGGTCTGCGCGCGATTGCTGGAAACGCCATTGGCGACATCTGTCTATTGGATTTCCGCGTGCCACACGCCAGCTTGGTATTAGGTACAGTTGCCGAGTCGAGGCGCAAGGTTCGCTCAGTTGGTACGAGGGCTGCGGCACCGCCCGAGCGCGTTAAAGCCTACCAGCCTGCGGCGGGCGCGATCACAGCACTGGTCTGCGGCGGTGCGGGCTGTGCGAACTTGCCGCACGCGATGCCTCATGCTGCCATCAACAACCAGCCCGTGGTCGTCTCTGCTTCCATCGATCGATTCCTTCGCGTCTATCACCGCGACTCTGGTGAACTTTTGACCAAGGTACGCTCCCAGAATTTGGCAGTCTTATTACCAACAGTTTGTTCCAAAGTTCATATTCTGGTATCTTGGTCCCTAACGAAACTTGCATCGGCTTAGTGAATTTAGTGTGTAAACTTCAAGCTTTACCCTGTAAATTATTCTTTGTAAATTATTTTAAGAGCACAAACTATATTTCCTTTCCATACAGCTAAGGCACCTCCCCCTTTGGTCTTTCAGCTAATTTTAATGTCTTTGTTAACCCATAACAGGTGAGATTTTTCTTCCCTCTCAGTGCTAGTCATTTTGGAATACCCTATCTCATTATAGGAAGCCAATAAGACTCCATACCTACGCACACTTCGGTAGCTTAGTGGACTTTTTCCGTCTTTTTTACCAACAGTGTGCTCAGGACCAATTTGTTGTAGAGGTCACTGTTGGATTTGGTTGGGCAAATGCGGAATTTCCTCTTGTGTTGCGTAGGCGCAAGCCAAGCCGCAAGAGAACGTGCCTTAGTGAGAGCCGTGGGTTTATTCCGCTACACTTCCCCCTTCACCTGACTCACAGGTGCATTTCGACTCATCGTCAGAAGTGCATTTCTTCGCACCATTTCAATGCGCTTTTGTCTCTTTAATCACGCTAGATCTTTACAAAAACTCCTATCTCCACCTTCCTTATCCGTGACTCGGCCAAATTCCCCATGAAAGTTTCTAGTATGGAGGAAAAAGTGGATGCAGAAGGATTAGGGGAGGAGTCGGACGAACTTTGGGCTGGTATGGAGACCCTGGAGTCCAAGGACGAACCGCCGATGAAGAGGACAAGGAAATGTGGAACCAACGCCCACTCGTGACCATCCTCGCCTATCCTTCTAATGTACATGTTTTGCAGTATTATCCTACAAATTAAATATAACCCAGTCTAAGTACGTACGAACGGGTGTTCATTTGTTGGAAATGAGTGCGTCGTTGAACACGGACATATCGAGGGAATGATTGAAAATGACTAAAAGAAAGTAAAACTAATTTTTGGGAGTTCGTTGAAAACGTGACCACACAGATAGGCTGAAAAGTTGTGTACAGTGCTGTACGGAGTAAATATGCCTTGAAGAGACGCAGAAAAGGGGGGGGAAGGGGAAAGGGAGGGTTCAGACTGGTAGAAGACCCAGGTAGATGGAAGCGATGAGACTGAGAATGGCTACTGCGATTGCACTTCCGACAAAGAGAATTTTACCCTTTGCTAAAACGAGAATCCAGGTATTGAGTAAGAAGAACAAAGGATGATATTTGACTAGGAAATACTAGCCTATATCCACATTCTGCGCCTAATGTTCAGTAGTTATTCAGGTTCAACCATAAAGTCAACCACTTGCATTGATAAGTTTTAAATGAATTAACTCAACTGCTTTGCCCGGTTCAAATTCCACTTAATTATGCTTGTTCACTCATCTGGGATTTAAAATTGTAGGGTCTAATATTGGGCATTGAATTCTAACCAATTTTAATCAAGCGTTTAGTGATGTTAATGTTTTTTCGTCATGCCTTATGAATTGATGAAGCGGAATTCGACCATATCCTTCATCCACAGTGCACTAATCTCACACCTTAACTTGGTAAAGCTGATTTATCGAATCGTATAAATCGAGGCAACATTCAATGCTTGACTGAATTAGGTATTAAGGAAAACAGTACGTAAATCAGCTTTACTTCTGAAGCCTTTTTTAATGCTATTAAAATATGATTACAAATTTACGAATACAACAGCTTGCTTACACCGTGAGACGGAATGGGCCATCACCTCGATATCAGTGATGATATTACGGTCCGAGAGTTCACCATCTGTAGAGCCTAGGAAACAGTATTAAAAAAATACAATTTAACTATTAAACGCAAGTGATCTTCCCCTCCTCAGGATTTCGGTTGATTCATCAAACCACCTGCTGCAAAAACAGCATTCAATAAAGTAACTTCACCTTTCAGTAAGCATAAAGTAAATTCAAGAAATAATATATCAAGCACTCACGAATGAGTGCACAGTTAAGCGGGTTCTCTGATATCACACAAACAGGGAGCTGTGACCATAGACGGTCACAGAAGCACAGTAATGGAAGAAGTTGGAATGCTGATAAGTTTTTACTACACGTGTACGAGTGCCCAATCAAAGGATGCAAATAGAAAATTTTCCCAAGATATAGCTGTGAGCATCTAGTTTACATCTTTTGAAAAAACGATAAGAGTAATTAAAGACACGGTATTAATTAATGGTGTGGAATGAGATCGTCATCATTGCGTACTTTTTAGTTCTGAAAAAAAAACCACTTTGTTTACGAGTTGAAGATGAAATTCGCGATCAACTTAAAACCAACGATCCCATAGACACACAATGATAATGTGATGCCAATTAAATTACATTTTATAAATAGCATACGAGCGGTTCGTAGAAAACCCGAAGACATAGTACTTGCCAGACAACAAAATAGGCTCTAATCCAAAAAGTGCGAAATACTCTTTCGCTGGGATAACTACACGCAAATGCAAAACGAAATGAGCGTTGAAGGAGAGGAAATCACACACTGAGAAACAAAGGATGATTTATAAACTGTACAAAAGATGCATCGGTAATGCACCATGAAAGAAGAGTAATCAAAGCTCGCAAGCTTAAGGAATGAAACAAAGTACTAGGAGCACCAGTGAAAAAAGGCGTTCAGAAGACTTCACTCAAAGCAAACACTGCGGCAAATGTCAAGCAGTAATAAGAATCAGTACCAACCAAAGAAGCAGAGTGAATATAATTTACCAGCATCAAAAGTCCGCTCCAGTTCGGTGTCCAGACACGCGACGCCGAAGACGGGTTCAGCGTCTTCGATGCCCATCTGGTTGGCGTTGCCCAGAGCCACAATAACCACCCCCTCGTTTTCCACTTTGTCATCCTCAGCATCGACCTCAGTGGCATTGAACTCCAAGTCAGAGGAGAACTCGCCGCTGTCGGCAGTGGAAAGGCGATCGCCACTGCTGATGCCGCCGCCAGCGCGCAGCAAGGCGGGTGGCGTGGCACTCCCAAGAGGACGACAGAAGAGCGCCACTCGACGCACCACGTCGTCAGGAGTCTCAGAAACGAACTTATAGTCTGACAGAGGACACGCCGGGCATGCGGGAATACGCACCAACACTCGTGAAGGCAAGAGAATGCGACCACCTTTGTGGTTGAAAAAAGGAAAGCAATAATTGCATTAGGAGCAAACGTCAAGTGGAATGATAGTGGGTGCGTATGGTTATATAAAGGCTATCCCTACCTCTACGTATAAAGGGCAAAAAGAGTTGTTGTATTAAAGAGTTTAGCCTTGCGACTTGACTAACGGGTGAGAAGACAATCTAACGCTGGAACAATCTCTGAGAAGATTAATTTATCACCATCACTGAAAGACGTCATCCTCACCCCCATAAACATAAAATTGTAACTAGAACTGCTGCATAAATAATAAAGCAGTAAAATGACGTAAGAAATTGGCTAAACTGGGAAAACTAGACTGTGTTTCCCCATCACAAATGGTAATTCGAGAGGCATTTTAATGAGGCTTAGATCATGGTTCAGTATCACTGATTCTGATGCAATAAAAGCACAGATCGAGTCTACCGTGCGCTGCATCGTCATCCCACCGAAAGTAGTTTATGGGCCAAAATTGACCAGCATCCTCACGACACACCTTAATTACAAAAGACCGAGAAATTATGACAAGAATCCACGCATAATCGTATCATGTAAAAATAGCATTTAACATTATAAACCACACACACACGTAACCTCACTTGCAGACACTATTCAACAGAAACACCAGGAAATCTTAAAGTACCAGTTTTTGGGCTCTAAAAAAGGAGGCAAACCACGTCACCGCCAACGAATAGCATCTGTAGGAGGCACCGGTTGATCAATAATCCGTCACAAAAAGAAATACCTTCACAATACCTCTTAGTGGCGTTTAATCTGACCTGAATAGAGTTCAGCTTGTATCTCCCGTCGGTACAATTGCGAATTTGATTCTTGAGATGACAACTAATACTTATGCAGAGGCTTTGCAATATGCGAAATTCAAAGTTGATCTGTTACAAAATAAATATTGAGAGCCAAAGCTTTCAGGTAAAGCCTCAATTCACTTTCACAGTGCCGAAGTTCAAAAAAATACAATATGCGGTACTGTAAGATGAATCGGGAATAATATCCGAAATCTATAAGGTGGCACAGATATTTATTTATTGTAACCTAATCGGGTACCGCTTCTGCTGATCGATAAAACCAAAAACGTGAATTCGTGCAATACTGTCGAGCAAGCTACATGAGGGTGGCACAAGTGGATTTAATCCACGGCGATTGCCCAGAATGAGGAACGTTCTTTTACTGAAAGACATTGCAAGAGCGTGAAAGTTAGAATAGCTCTTAGTACAGCACCTAGCTGCACAATGCACAATCGGAACAAGACTATCTGTGATCTACTAAGGTTGGATTTTTGTCCCAACTGTAGATTATTCTGCGAAAACTCTAAGATTCTAGGATTTACCATCCATCCTAATTAATCCTTGCACCAATCGAAGCACTAAAAATATTAAGATAAATCACAGTCAAGATAAATTTGCTATAGTGCTCTTATAGGCAACATCTAAGTAACAGAAAATTATCGATGCGACCTGGAAAGAACAATTAGATTTCAGCGACTCGAAATCTTCGCAAAAAACGCGTTAAATAGAACGCTGGCAAGGAGAAAGAAGCTCCTCCAAGGAGTTACATTGATTTACTCGATGTTCTATTCCTATCTGTATGCATTCTGTAAGTCTCGCGATTCCTAAACGCGTCAAAATGACACAGTGCATCAATACTTTTCATTTTCAAACCCAACCTACTCCAATCCATGCAAATACGAAAAGACGGAAAGCTTAATCGATTCAATCGAATAGATGCATAATTTCAACCAGCAACAGTGGCAGTTCAAGGCAAAGGGAAGTTTAACAAAACGCCAACGTATCCTTAATTTTGAATAAGCATTAAATGTCTTTTAACACGAAAAAAGGGGAGGATTTTTATTGAAACCACCTGCTTCTCTGGCAAGGTATATTATGACAAACAGAGACCTGGTAAACGGTAGAATAACCGATTTCAACAGATCGGTCTTTAAGGGGAGCATCGATGACGTGTGAGCGTGTGCATGTTGCTGAAGCAGAAGGCACAGCAGTGTGAAAAACAGGGGTCGCGTACGGCCTTGTCACGAGTAGAGAGGACAATATCGGAGGACAGAGGCGTAGGCATTGACAAGTAAACTCTGGTAACCTCTCCTCCCTCATGAAAGCACACTTCTGTAGTAGAATAATGCTATCTAGGTGCTCAAATGGCACAATGTCCATTGAAGCTGTCTAGCACTGTTTCTGGGGGCACGGTTGTTAAAGGGTCATGAGGAATCCTAATCAGCCAATTTCTGTTGGCTATAAACGTTGATTCGATTTTAGCTTCAGCAGCTCACAACTGAACGGCAATTTTCCGCATTGCATTCTGTCGTTTGTATTAAGTTTTTTAGAGTGCATCGTTATTCGCTTGATAGTAACGTGTCTTTAACAACCCGGTTATCCCGGAAAATAAAAGCAAGGCCGTGTATCAATATGGCCCGTTGATCTATTCTGGTGGCAAAATCTGCAGGATGGAATCTAGGTAATTTTAAAGACAAGAAGTATACGTAGTACTTTTCCAAATGTACCACTTTTACGACGAACGGCTACGCAGAAACCCTTTAAACAAACACCTACGCAGTAGAAAAAAGGTTTAGATAACAATAATTGTTAGATTCAATAAAAAGAAGGGAGGTGGAAGACTCCACAATGGCAACAACAGCACGTACCATCCCAAGCTTAGTGAAACGTTGACTTGAGGGGATGACCCGTTAAGGGGAAAGCGAAGCGTAGGGCACTTGCAATTTTTTTGTTTTTCTTCAACCACATAAGCACGGCAGGCAATCATGGGGAGCAGATATTTTTGCGATATGCAGGAGGGAAAATCGACCTCCCAAGAAGCATCGGACCTTGAAAACCTTACCGTATATGATTCGGTGGTTAAGTGGAGACTGTCATTTGATTTGATTTTCATCACCTCTTTTGCAGCTATTCAATAGTGAAAGATCGACACAAGGTGGTTGTTTTTAAAAACGTCTACCAATCCTGACAATGTTGGTATGAAATCTTTGAGCGATGACAAAGAAATGTGTGATATAATCAAATAACTTAAAAAAAAAACTAAATTAAACGGCAAAGCAAACTTTAATGAATTATTTTCGAAAGGAATCTTATTTTAATTGGTGAAAATTTAACGGTTTGGATTGGTTTCATCAAAATATAGGACAAAAATTGTTTTTACACTCGATATTTATCACTCCCGAAAATAAGACTCCAAAACCCACTTTTAGCCATAATCTTAGAAAGAAAGATGAAATATCCAAAAATGAGATGGAAAAATGGCTATCGCCTGGGACTTGTGTGGGAGTTTGAAGTAGCTTTCACAATATGGCACATACAGCTCAAACGGTTGCGAATTTCGCTATTCATAAAACTGTGGAATTTAGGACAAAATTGCTTATTTAAAACGACTGCATAAAATATTTGTAAAAAGAATTGCCTTACACTCCATTTCACCGCTGCTTATCTGCAATTCTTCGGTGAGGAGTTCGAGGCGCACTAGAATGCTGTGTGTTAGATCCCGCTGAAAGGCCTGGAGAAATAAAGGACAAATTAAAAAAGTAAAAATAATTGAATAAAAAATATGGACAAATTCAAGATGAATTCATCGGGAAATTCAAAAAACCTATCAACCACCCGTAAATTTTAGTCAGCTTAAAAATTTTTAGGAATATTTTTAACTTTTATTAAACAATCTGTTTTCATTCTCATTGTTTTTTCTTAAACACAGTAAAAAGTTGTGTTAAGAACAGGAAATACAAAATCAATGTAAATGAAATACATAAAATATCTGTTACACCACATGTTGGCGGGACAAGTGCGAGCATCTACTGGATGGCCTCCAAGTCACCAAAACTTTTTGAGCTTAGCAAGCGCGCAAGAGTGCTTGGTTCGTGTAAGAAGCCTCAAAAGTATAGTGATAGATTTAAATTGGATAGAAAAGGTTACCTTGAGCGCATCAGCGACAGTCGTGCCATCAACGGGGAGGAAGGCAAGACCAGGAATCCGTCCATGGATGGTGAGGATCTTGTCGCCTTCTGGACGCGGCGGGCTATCGATGGGCATGGCCAAGGCGTCCGAATAGTGGCCCGAGTCAATCGACGAGCAGGAGCTGGTTCGCTTCCAAGAGAGAAACTATTGAGGCAAGAAAATCCCTGAACTGTCCCTTAATACTCATTAAAACGATGTGCTTTGTTGAGAACCGTAGGTGTGCATGTGCGAGATGTACTTATAACTCGGTTCATAGGCGCTTTATACACTGGACGTGCATTCTTAGACGGTGAAGGATATTTATTCATCACTGTCCTAGACGTGCTGGTCTTAGCTCTATGACAATCGCTATGGTAGTTATCCACTCAAACGCCACTGCCAAAAAGACAAAAAACAATCATTTGGTGATTCAAGGAATCAAACGATATTTTTTCCTACAAATTCGTTTACATGAATTTTCAACTTTCAAAAACACGTTTGCATTGAGAAACTATTCGGAACAGATTAGAAAGGAATTCAATAAATGCGTAGTTGGTTCACTTTGAACTATTTTCCCAGTAAATGATTAAATTGCACAAATCTTAGTATATATGCAAATATAATGGATCGGCATGTTACCGAAAATAAAACTACCTACAATCTTAAGATTGATTATCAAAAATGGGGTATTAAGGCTGTAAAAACAATAATAGCAACATTGGCTTGCATTCTCTACTTGGAGGCAATTGGTCATATAAGCAACTAGCCTTACTTCAATTCAATGGAATATCCAAGGGGTAATGGACAAAATCAAACCAGCAGGATTGCCAGTATGAGTCTTAAAAAACACGAAAACTGGTTAAATTTGATACCGTAAAGTATTGTTGATTTTACAACAGAAAAAAAGGGATAGCACAAAAGCAAATGCGACTCACATCAGGGCCGAATAGGACAAAGTTTGCGGAATCCCAGGAGTTAGAAAGATTCTGCGCCGCCTCGGAAAAACTCTGGAACTCCGCCTTTGTTCCTCTATGACGCTTTGAGTGACGAGCAACCTTTGCGATGGATTTTTTGTGGAAGAGGGGATCCGACTCGCATTTCAAGTCACCATCGACAAGAAGTCGTGTCTTTCTGGTAATGGCCTCCAGGAATGGCGTCGCAGCTCCCTCCAGTTCCTGAAGAATCTTCTCCTTCTGTCGTTCGGCTGGAAGGTAAGCCTCCAATGTCAGATTGATGTGGGTCTTAATGCCCCTCCACCTATCTATCACCTGTCGGACTCTCACATCAACTGGCCGCAAAAAGTCCTTTGGGTGAGAGAAGCCAATTGCTTTGGCAATGAAGCTAAAGAACAGCAGGGTTGGATTTAAATGCGCCACGAGCGTACCTCTTAGTGAGAGGATCTACTTGAAGGAAAAGCTTATCACGATCGGTTAAAGGGGCAAACTTGTCTGTGAGTGGATGCTTTTCGGCCAATTGAATAACATGCAATATCTATACATCGAAATGAAATTCTATTATAAACATGAATACCTCTCTAATTCGTGCACTTGATTTAGTGAAATTGAGAAATCCGCAGTAGTAGACACCAGATACTCTTAAACCAGCAGGAAGCATACGGCATATTTTCTGGCACTCAAGCTTTAATTCCGATGTGTTAATGGTGTCAATGTTAGTGAGGTCTTTTTCAGTAGATGCAAGAAGGAGGAAAACGCACTCGTCCTCCTTGACGGACTAGAATACACTAACTTAGATAATAGAGAAGGACTCACCCCACTGATTATCAAGCCGTAATTGGTAGATTTCTGTGAAAGACAACGGTCATGGAACTTTTGCTCAATGGACAGTGTTTTTATCATTGTAAGACTAGAAATGAAATAGTGAAATACAGTTTAATACGAGAGAAGTGAGTTGGCACACCCAGATCAACCAATATACATTAACAATTAGTTCTAGTGAGACCAGACATCGAATAGAATAGAAATTGACAAGCAAACTAAGTAACTAGGCTTGCTCCAAAATGAAATCGACTACACGTCCACGAGGAATAGTGGTAGGATAAGGAGTTCCCATAATAAAACTAAATCACATCTGATATTGACTCAGGATGGTAAAATACTTCGCATTACATATTTGCATAGAACTCACCAGCTGTATGAGTATCGACGCCAACGTCAACCAGCACAAGTTAACAGGTTTGCCCTACAGGTATCATCGTGCTATCCAATAAACGCGTGACCTTTAAATTGTAGCGGATCAACAAAAATACTAGTAAAGTATTTGAACGGTATATTTCGTATTAGGCTATCCCGGTTGTGACATTTTGTGGGACCGATACAACGAAATTAAATCAGATTGGCAATCTGTTATTTAAAATTTATGCATATAATATTAAATGGGAGAGAGGTTGGGCAATTAATTTTAAAAACAGCTTGTTTGTGAGCACCAACACTATCATTATGGAGTAGATTTGTTTGAAATTTTTGATTTCAAAATCAAATAAACTTATTTCTTTGACACCCTATTTAAATTTTTTATTTTACGAACTGGTTTATTCATAAAGAAAATATTGATAGATGTGCTCCTTGGCCACTGTTCATTTCTCAGGCATGGCGTATCAGAATCCTTTTTTGTGCAGATATGGCCACTTACTACATGCATCCGCCACTAAACACGAATTCTGTTGGCTTGCCAGTTTGTCTTACTCGTCGTTTGACCATGTGGACTATCAGAGTACCGCAACGCGGCTTTGGCGCCAGGCCGTAGGTGTCCCAACACCGATCTACGCTAGTACCACATGTTTTTTGATAGCCTTTTGACCTTTTGAGACTTAAGAGAAGATTTGTGAGACATCCAGAACAGATAATTGAAAACGGAGACCCGTTCATTTGATGTACCTTCAACTTACACATCTAATGCACTTTTACGTAGAGGGTTTTTGTGTCCTGCATTACAAAGTAATATTCGTTGCAACCTTTAAGTAGTACAAATAAATTTTGGGCTCGCTACATTCTTACTTAGTACTCACCCGTTGCTTTTATTCCAGGCCTCAACGCATTACTAAAACACCGTCGTTAGTAAAGTTCTAATACCCATTAATCATTAGGAAAGTGTAACGCATTAAACGGGGATCCATACACTTAATCCGAGTGACATCCTGGCAAAACTTGATTTGCCTGATTTAGAAGAAACCAATAGCTTTCCTTGCGTCGTTGAAACTCTTCCAGCTGAGACTTTATTCTCTGGTATTCTGCTTGCGGCACACGACGTCTTTTTAAAAACACAGAGCAAAAACGATTTATGTCCCATTAAGTGGGTAACATTTATTCCTGTTACATTTACAACTCACCTCAATTTTTCAATTTCTTGGCGATGTTGTTCGGCTTCACAGCTCTTCGCGATCAGTTCAGCATTAAGTTGGCGAATGTTTACAATCAATTTCACCCTTTCCTGTGCGAAGTCCGATCAAAGCTAATCAGCATTCAGTATGAAAATGTAAATTCCGTGATGGTTTACTTACTGATTTGAATTTCTCCAGTAACCTCAGGTATGCCTCTCTGACACCTGCCATTTCACAGAGCCGGTCGCCTCCATCACCATAATCCTTCATTGATATGATTAGCTTCTAATGAACATTACCTTTTCAGGAATTTGTTCATCTGTAGAAGTAATTTCCTTTAGTGCACGTTCTAAACTCTGGATTTGATTTTGCTGGGCTCTAAGTTCATGTCTAGCCATCGCCAATTCATCTTTCAATGCTGAGTTTTGTGCCTCACTTAACGAAAGCTTCTTCTGGGTCTCAGTCCTTAATGTCTCCGACTAAAATAATAGGTTATGCAAATGGTGATTGTATATTTACCACACACCTCCCGAGCGAAGTTGATGCTTCCTTCCTATGTCTCCTAAGTAAGTGACCTTAATCATAACAATGTTTGGCTATTTTATACGTGCTTATCGAGCATCTATTAGGTACAAACTGCATAAATTGAAGCGATGGGTCCTAAGTTTGGAAATATATGGAGTATCGAATTCAGTGAGGTACGATTTCGAGAGTACCCATAAGCATTTTTCACAGCACTTTTAGTCCTAACAACACCAGCTATGGAGTGTGCTCCGTGCGCAGGGCAAATGTAGGCACAAATGCAGCAAGAAGCACATGAAGCAGACGCTCTTGATAAATGATGGGTTACTAGCTTGCTATATATCAGTGCTCTGACTGATTTTAAGGTATAATCACTTTATTTATTCGTCCTGCAAAAGTGGAAATCAAAAGCATCCCTATTTTTACCGCATAATTCATTAACTGACGTCATACCATTATGTATGTTCAGTTAAAATACTAAAGTGAAACCGTGTGATTCAATAATATACAAATCTTTGTTCTAGCGACACCATTAAACCACGTGACTGAGGGTCCAAAGCTCCTATGCGATTGCTATTAATAAGGCTAAGTAGCAGAGGTTCTTACCTCAGCCAAGGCCTGTGTTATATCTTTGTGCTGAGCTGTTAATTCACGAAACCGTGATTGCGTGTGTTCCAATTGTCGAAGCATTTCCGCAGAGCGATTTCTCGACTCCTCAGTGGAATCAACCATAGTTTTTCGAAGATCTGACTCCCGTTGCGCCATTTCCTGTTCACGCTGTTGATGCAATATCTCGACCTCTTCGAATTTGGCTATGGCCACAGCCAATTGACTGGCAAGATCTGAAAGAAGGCATTTTAAAATGCCTTCAAATTCATGAGTGTTACATAAGGAAACAGGCTGAAAACACCAATATGATAACATTTTGACCTAGGTGGAGGAATATGACTTTGATTTTAGAGTACTAAATTTAACAACCACCTAATTTAGAGGTACCGCATTTTAATTTTTGGCAATACGTGCACATACCATGACATAAAGCATCTGCCTGGGTTTCTGTAAAGGGAATATTGTCAATATATATTGCCAATAAATGAGAAAGCGCCATACATCTATTACGTTTGGGATCATGTATGAGAGATCTTGGCAGACGTGTCTACTTCGTAAATAGTTCGGAAATTCAAATCGCCTAAAGCATAACGTCAAACATTTTCACATTTTCGGACGATGCAGTAAGAGTTTGATTTATTTCACACTTCACCTCCTTAGAAGTTGTAACAAAAGTCGATAACATGCGAGAATTGGTATCAGTTTTCGATATCAAACGTAAACAAGTCGAACCAATAGGGCCAGTGATTCATATCGTTTGATTCAAAGCATCGATTCATCGAATTCGGATGTACCAAGTTTCGCCAATTTGAACTTCCCTTGCCGAGAAGTAAGAGCTAATGGAACATGTAAATATGCTAAGAGAGGGAGGATTAGACTACTAAATCAACATTATCAAATAAAATTAATCCACTCGTAAAGATTCATATTCACAAATCGAGGCGTAAAATCGTAATTATGTAGTCTATTTCTAGGTATAACTAACCCGTTAAATCATGTATTCTCTTCAAACGTGTTACTTTAAACGTTTTCAATGGACCAGAAAGTGGAAGCAAGGTTACTAATTGGAAACATATTTCTAAATATCCCTTCAAAAATAGTAGAATGCGTCACACTTGCCTTGGACTTGGAAAGCCAATTGATCACGCTGGCGCTCTACTTCCACTCGCTCCCGCTGGGCTACCAACCGGCAGTCGTTCAACTCCGTTCTTAAGCATTGCACTCGCCCCTCGAAATGCTTCTCCGAGCTCAACTTTGCTCGCTCACAGTCAACTATGCGCTGACGGGCAGCCTTCAGATCAGCCTGGGTGCTGGCCAGGCTTTTAACAAGCAATTCCATCTTAAAAAAGTCGAATAAGTTGTTTCGAAGTTCTGTCTCAAATTACACCCACCTCTTCACTCAAGGACTCGCATTTTGCCACCAGCGTGGCCCTATCCGTCTTCGCTGCTGTTAGTTCTTCTATAGCACGTATCAGCTCATTCTTCAGTTCACACCTAAGTAGCATCTAGGTGAAACAATATGGAATGATCTACATCTGTGTATCATAAAGACGTTTTGACTTCTCCGCCTCACCAACAACGAGGTGGTACTGTGCGCACATCTGTGAGTTTTCGCGATACAGGGCAGCCAGGGTTTCCGTGTCCGACCCGAGAAGAGAAGAGAGGCGAGTTACGACTTCGTCATGAGACTCAGCTATATGCTGACGCTTGAATTTAGTGTAAATGACATTTATTTGACTAATTCAACCTGATTTACAAAAAGGAAATTTGTGTACTAAATGTCTGAAAACAAGAGAAGTGTCATATCTTGGTTCTTTATAACATTCTAATTAACTAATATAATTTTCGACTAGCAAATATACCCGGAATGTTTCAGAAAAATTGCACTTGATCTTTAACCGAACCGGGAAAATATTGGTAACTTGATTGCCTGATTTAGATATAGAGTGGATTTGAGAAAACTTGGGAAGATTCGTGCATTAGAAGAACACTCTCCAACGCGTTAGATACCACTCAAAATAAATATGAAGCAAAGCAATGGAAATGCTAAATAAACTTGTAAATTGCTCCGATAATTAGCAGCCCCAAAAATACTGTAGCTTGGTCAACAAGTAGGTCAACTTAGCACGTTTAACAATATGCTGAAAAAATGTCAATAGCAATGTATGACATCTGAAAGTGGTTGCTAATTAAAGAGAAATAAAACAAAGGCAATAGTTGAATCGAACCTCTGATTCTCGGAGAAGAACTTCCATTTCCCGAACAGATTTTGAGCGTGCCCGAAGTTGCTCGTAGTCAGTCTTTAGTTTCTCAAGCTCTTCTGTTACATAAAGACATTCGGTCCGCGCAACTTCAATCTCTTTGGTGGCGCTGGCAAGCTCATCTTCAGATTTCTTCTTTAGTGCATTCCCAATCTTAAATAAATAAGGCATTAGATAATCGTTAGAAACTATATGTTGGATTTTTACCTCAACATACCTTACACTTTATCAGCTCAAGACTCTCTGGTGAGAGTGCACTCTTTTGAAGTTCAATGCACAGTAACTCGAGTTCACGTTTCTCAGAGGAAAGTCTTATTAACTCAAGGTTCAATAACTTCTTCTCGTTTAGCCATTCATGCAGTGCACTGGTATACCGCGACTCTAAATCAACATGTGATTCCTGTCCGTAAAAAATGTATTTGATTCCAGCAGTATGCACAGGTATTAATAAAATGGAGGGGAGCTACGGCTCCAGTGCAGAAAATAACTTTTGTTTGCATAAAACAGGTTTAACAGTGTATGCCTTAGTATTAGTTGATTTTCCAGGAGGAAAAAATTTACCTGTAATTGTGTGTATGCAAATTTAAGATGGGAGTAAAGCTGTTGAAATCTTTTGGCACTGGTTCTCTCATCCAATAGAATATGCGAAGTTTCAACCAGTTCACTTAAAGGCCAATCCTGCGATTTAAGGCATGGATCGTGATTCGGTAGGAATTCTTCATTGAAATACACATCACTTTGTGATAAGGCTCTGCGTCTCATTGGGAATCGCATAAAGAGCGAAAGTTCTTGCCTTGACCTTATAAACATGACAATTACATTAAACAATTTAAGGTCGCCAGAGTCAAACATAGCGCCTAAATTTCCAATTCATATTCCTACTATATTAGCAATATTTGTAAATACAAATAAATCTGCGGCTGACGAACAAATTGAATGCTTGGTTTCTCTTGTTTAAATTACACGCGTCATGGTATTTCGTGCACCAGCGCGGCATGGATTACAGGAAGTGCCCAAAGTTTATTGAGGCAGAGAGATATCTCGACGAAAAACGTATCCCCGAATTGCTACACAATCTCAGCAGCCTAGTTGTTTTTGACAGACCAGGCAAGTCTACTTTGATATAGGAAACCGTGAAAATCCAACCCGCCGGAGCTCAACCACCATGCTTCTTGCATGTCTCACTACCCTCACTTACCAGATTCATTCGACTTATACTAGCCAATATCAGTGCACGAAGCGTCACGGCACCCCATCTACAATAACATTTAAGTGATTTAATAATACCCTCTCCATTTCAACAACAATGTCTAGAAAACCCAATCGAGTATATGATCTCGATACTGGAGAAGTTGAAGGCAGCTCAGCACGGCCGTGGCGAAAACCCTTTTATCTTCACCTTGGCAAATGCTGAATCCATATTCCACATGTTGGACCCAAACATGCGGGGGTACGTCACTTTTGAGCAATATAAACATGGTTTGGAGACCCTGGGTATCACCGAGTTCGACATAATGCCTCGCGGAATTGGCAAGAATACTATCACAAAGGAAGTGTTTCTGGCTGCGGCGTAAGATCTTTTCCTTCTTATCCCCACGATACATCTTTCCAGGCAGAAGGGCCTTGACCATCTCTCCAGCACCTACCAGCACATTCCTGGCTTTCCAAGCTCACACGTAGAGAAGGACCAGCGGGAAGAAACCAAACTAGATCAAAATACATGCTAGGGTCTCGGAGTGAAGCTCGTACACCACATGCTAAGAGACCCCATATAGGAGAACAACATGACAGTAATAATAATAATAATTAGGAAGGCAGATAAATCAACTTTTGTTCGGTTTTGAAACAGGAATCCCTTCGTGGTGTCGCATGTGCCTCGATTTGTGGGCGCGTCTAGAAAGGATGAGAGTAATAATTTGCAGACTATTTTTAAATGAAAAGGGAAGGATATCTTCGCTACCCACTGGAAGCAGTATTTACAGAACTCCTGGTCCATACAGGCTGGGCACAGGATATTGGCCAAATTGTCACAGAGAGAGCAGTAAATTCGTTTGGTAGTGGACGTCTCGGCATTTTGGCCCGAGAGCTGTCCATGTAGCGTAGATAGCCGAGCTTCATCCTGTATCTAGTCGGTAAAAATAAATACAAATTACTCCAAGTACCCAAAACCTTAACAATTGCAAGCTAAAGGATAACGAGATGCCATGTTTTCAGGTTTAAAAAGTGGAGCAGAAATCGTCAAATTGCGCTGACGTGTTTCTACCTCAATTTCACAAATAACAAGTCTATTATATCACATATCATAGTTTAGAATGCTGCATGTCTGGTCATTATCAGATGAAAAACCTTAAAGTAATGCATTATAACAATCTGCGAAGCTAACTTGTGCGGACAGGCCGGTATCACAACCTTCCCTTTGGACGTACCGACAATTTGTTCTAATCAAATGTTGAAGTACATGTACAGTAGGAAAAAGAGTCTAAGCACAAGGTAGCAAAACATCAAACTTCTTAAAAAGTCCCTCTTGTCTAACAAACTGCAGTGAAGGCATGTCTCAGGTGTTAACTGCTCGTTTCAAATTCTCACGCTGCACTATCAGTTAAGCAGATAGACACATGATTGAATCTGTGGTCTTAAAAAGGAAAAATCACCCAAAATCTCACTGTACTCCATCACCTGATACCGGTTAGATAGGGGTGCCAATAAGCGGAACATCATTAAACTTCATGCATACATTCACGCAATGACGTGATCGACACGAGAAGAGGAAAGTCAAGCAAATGCAACAATGTGTTTAAGAAATCGAAAATTTAGTTGCGCCAAAGCAAAAGCGGTAGCATTGGCAAAATCGACACTATCACAGTAGTCTTTGAGGTACAGACAGGCACGTGGTCATTGAGTAGCAGTTACCCACTGATAAATGCCAAATTTCTCGGGCTATATTCTGCAGCATATTTTGACGATCTTAGACGCTAAAAAAGCACTGGAATGGTACATATAGACAAGAAACGGGCGCTCATGACGTTTGTACGGGGAAATGCACTTTGAATAGTCAACGAGGTTAGGCGTTATAACTTTAACTAGCGACTAAATAAAATGAGGATAGATCATGTACTTCACATTAATTTCAATTTCCAGTTTGACTTGGATTCTAAAAGCACTGAACTGGGGGCCATTACCAAACAGAAAAAAAGCATGACACTCATAATGGCTTGAAGAAGGCGTAAAGGCATGATACACTTGGAAGATGATGATCTCAGGAATACAAGGCAGTAGAACACACTCTAGGACATATTATCGCAAGTAGCTTTAAAAAATGTACTAAAATGAGGTTAGTTATACAAGGGTAGCCTTCAAACGGCATCTGATAGGACAAGCGCACTTGAGGGAAGTCAAGTTTCCCAACGCCGTCAGGTGCGACTTAAACGATGCATTCACCATTTATGAACTTTCACAGTTCAAAGACAGCCGCTTCCTCAGCATTTCAATTACCAAGGCAATTTCCAACAAAAATGAGTAGTTATTGATCCGTTTGGTGCCAATTACCGCCAAACGAATAAACTCTTCCTAACATTTTTGGCTTCAGAAAATACATTACATTGCTTCAAAGAATAATAATTCAACGGCTCCAAATAAATGAACAATTGTGGAAAATAAACCGCTCGATTCAAGGATACTTTAAATTAAAGTACAAGGGCATCTCAGCCACCAAGTAAATTTCACTCCTTAAAATTTATTTAAGAACAATAACTTGTGGCATGCTAGCACAAAAATAGATGTATTACTAGAACATTAATTCAACATTTCTATAGTAAAATGAACCAAAAAGGCACCTGATCCACGATATTCTTCACTTCATCCTGATTAGTTTTCGTTGACGACGCAGATTTAGATCCAAAATTGCGGGTAAGGAGAAAATCATTCAAGACGTCCAATCTAGACCGCAATTCTGCTTCGGTTGGAAGGTTTTTGCGCTTAAAATTATGTCGAAACAGTAAAACGTCAAAAAAGTATTCTACGAATAATACATATATTTAGCACAGTTGTTGCCCTTCTGTCAAATGCAGGGCTTCATTTTAATTTCGCTAGAATGCTTTGCCTATAAGTGTCGGGTATGCTTATCAGACGACTTAAGTCTTAAAAACGGACTAGGAATGGACGCCTTTGGTATACATTAGACTATACACGTCTGTGAGTTTGATCCACCTTGAAGGCTTCAAAGTCTTTAAAAGTTAAAATAACAGGCATTTTTTCATTAAAAATACGTATTCATACATTCGCAAAAAGATGCTAATGGTCTTAATTAGGTACTTCAATTTTAAGAGCGAAATTGATTGAAGTCTCCTTCTCAAGCGTCATGGTGAATTAGCTTCAAATGGAAAACTATTTAGAACAAGTATGACAAATTTAGGCAAAAGCCTTACCTCCTCTGCAGTCAATGAGTCCAGCCGTTGTGTCAGTTTCGCGACTTAAAGCATGAGATAAAAAATAAGAGGTTGGCGAAAGAAAAACACTTGCTTAACAGGAGGAAGCACACAACTTACTATCACTAAGATCCGCTTTCCTTGGTGGCAAATGATTGAGTGGTTCCAGCCTTTTATTTTTTAGAGCCTTTATTCGTCTAGAAAAAACATCAAATGGAAAGTGTGCGATCTCACCTTAAGTAGTTGATAGGGGGGTCATTCTCGCAGGGGTCGTTGGCGGGCTCGTTACTTTGAGAGGCAGTTTAAGAAAATGTACAAAAAAATTACCTCGTGGCTCTTTCATAACACTGAAGGCAGACTTTGGTATTGACGCCGCCTCCAGGTAACGTATGAGCAAGGCACTTTTTGCACATAATGAATTTGCACATTGGACAGGCCACCTGGAGGAGTAAAATAGTTAGAGGATGAAGACGAACTCATAAACTGTACCTTTTGAGCGCTGAAAGAGAGTTTCTTGGCGCATTGGTAACAGGACATTATCTAGAATGAGAAGGTAGTTCAAATGCTGCGCCATTAATTATTCTGCTATAGCAAAAGGAAGGGGTTACGCATCCCACTTTTACGAATCGTACAAAAATAGTAAAAAGTGCACTACCCTGATTTATACAAAATGAGGACAAAATATGATTTTAGGGAATACTGGGACATAAACTGCACCCGGGTCTGTCAGCTAACTTCAAGATCTATACTAGATACTAATTATTGCAATATTTTATGGCAGAGCATGCATCAAAATTCCAGTAAAAAATGTTTGAAAACCTACAAATTGGGAGAGTAGATACAGAGGGTACAAGTCTCAGGAACAAAGTACGGAAAAGAAGGCAAGTCTGTACATCAAAGTAGGATTTGATAAAATTAGTTATCAATTACCAGAGTGTTTAGAAGGGTTTCTTTTAAGAGGGACTATTCAGGCAGCAGCACAAGACGTGTGATTCCCAAGATCAGTGCTTTTCTCTACAGTAAAATACACAGGAGATATGGCCTAACAGCCTTGAGTAAACGCTCGGTTTCCAAAAGGGCGTAAGTTCTGCAAATGCACTGATCTAAGCTCACATAACATACCAGAAACCCCAGCGGAGTAGCGACAAAGGCTGAAAAGCTGATGGCATCTCATGAGACTTGACACAACCTGACCTAGAGGTGCTGCTTTACGATTGGCCACCATGACTGTTTGCATTTGATAATGCGATAGACAAAATTGTATTCATTGCCAGGAAATTTGAAGGATCAAGTGATCTCAATAAGGTTAAAAACATGTAATTGCCACATCAAAGCTTCGAAAACAAGTAAAGAGGACAGTTTGCGTGGGAATTTTGTAAAATCAATTGAGATTGTAATTAGTCAAGCTGAAAGCCTCGCAAAAAGAGGATATATTTGGAAGCAATGGGTTGGACACTTGCTTTTATTTGTGTTTACCCAGCCAAATAAGTGTGTAGGTAAAATATGGCTTTCCGTTGCCAAGTTAACATGTCTAGGCTTCGAATTTTAAAAAAGCTGAAATATCTACCAAACTGAAACCAAGTCCTATGTCTACACAACCTTTTTTCAATTATTCATAGATCCTATACGAATCAATTCGTAAGTAAAATAGCATATCCATGTTCGGCATAATATTTTTGATGTGTAACTGCAATATATTGTAGCGTCCCGAAGCTCCCTGAAGACGAAAGAAGACACAATACTCAGGCATAATATCTATATTCAGCACGGAGAAGATGTCTAGGCTACTGGGATGGCCCAAAAGGCCACCCCATCCATCGAGGTACAAGGGGGCTAATTCAAAGTACAAAAGTGGCGCCTCACCAGTACCGAGGGATAAACCACTATCGTATTGCAATGTGACTGTTTTTTGCACCTTTTACGTATGTTGGGGTTTTTCATGAAGGCGGTTTACTTTTGTGAAGTTTTAAGATAAATGTAGATTGTATACCTATAAACTTTGAGTGGTCTACTTAACCTGTTGAGCAATGGAACGAACCTTTAATCCTTTCGCAAAGAGGCGAGTGGGGTGGTATTCGTTGGGCCGTAGATGTGTGTACCTTTTAGGTGCCAAGTGGTCGGTTTACGGTACCTACATGGCTGAGCGGTTTCGGCTACTTGGGGGAGCCGAAAACAATTATGATTCTCTAGTGAAAGATATCTTTACCTAATTTTCTTGACCAGGAGCACCTAACCAGAGTAAGAGGCAAGGAATGTGAGATCATTCGAGGCAGTTAGCACGCAATTATTCAAATGTCTTTTCTAAGTATGATTGTAATTTCTGATTTAGATTGTAATTCACCTTCCAGTTACTCAATGCACATGTCTTTAAAAGAAGCATTATGGCGGTCTTTGCAATACATTTGTGGTGAACGGTAAGCTTGCTGGTTATAATCGTGACAAGTTGTCACGCGGTTTTTCTTGATATCAAATAGGTACTGTGGTGCTGAGTGCTTGTTTTGAATAATTTTAAGCCTAGCCACTGGCATCATTAGCAACATTTAGATTGATTATCTGCATTACTTTTCCCACAATTCAAACAGAACGATAGCAACCTTTTCAGGTCAAGTTGCTGTCGCTCAAACTGGAGCGAACCTCCGTTCAAATTGCAGTTTAATAACTGAGCAGCACATTTAGCCATAGCACTTTCCATGTAGCCAAGTGGTGACATTCACATTTGTATTTTTAAATTTTTTCTGTCCAGGGTTATTTCGGGTCAAAAGCAAACCATTTCCGAATATGAGACCACACAACGATGGCTTCTTGTTTTGTTGACTGAAATCTGAACATCTTCTTTGCACGTCCGTACAAACTCCGACTTTTCACTGCTAGCTGTTGCACATCGCTACTGTTCCTGCATTTTTATTACTGATACATTGGTTTTGTCGTCCTCGTTCTACCACTGGTCAACCGTGTTCCCCGCGCGGCTGTCGACTCTCCTACGCAATTCATTTAAGTCAGCAGAGACGTGCCCGACTAACGTGGCACTCGCACTTAGGTCTATATGAGTCTCTCACTCATTTCAATCTATGACTTTTACACCTCCATGAAGTACCAGAAACCACCATTAAAGGATCATATTAACTTTGGTTTTTAAGCTTAACATTAATCTTCACGTGGCCGCTTTCAGTGCTAAAACGCATGAAGCGTTAAGGATGAAACCACGTGCACGATCCTAAATGAGCAGGAGGTCACGAGTCGAATGTCTGCTCGGTGAGAGGTAGCTAACAGGCTCTACCTTGTTGCAACTGGGATCCTACCTACTGTGTCGACAAACTAACACTTAATAGTTCCAATCACAAGGCGGAGAAGTTAATAATGTCAAGGGTACTACCAACACCCAACCGCAAAACAGTAAGAAATGGGAGAAGCGTCCCAACATTAGTAGTAGAGAAATATGCTAGATTTATGTATAAAACAGTCTGAACAAGGGGGCGCAAATGAAGGCGTCAAGGGGGCAAGTCAACGCAGTCGCATGGGCGAGTACTTATCCAAGATTATAAGCGCACCAGTCTGGTCAACGGGGAAGTCCACGTCCAAATAGGTCTTATTGTCCAATTCCATCAGTTCCAGTAGATGTTGGCTAAAAAAGAACAGAAAAAAGAACTAGGCAAAACTAGTCTGTGGGAACCCGTTGTAAATAAAAGAGTCAGCTTGAGTTACATCGAATCTCTGCATCTTCGGTACTAAGCATTACTAATGCAATCGGTATTTTTTCAAATAAGATACAACAATACTGAAAAATTGATCAAGGGTAGAGGGAGTCTAGCAGACAGCGTCCTACTTATTTTGGGAAATGAACAACGGCTTACGCATGGCTACCCTGCATGAAAGCACAAGGGATCCAGACTTTAGTCGATGTTTCATCAGGTAACATATTGAGAATTCGCGCAGAGTTATTCTGATAGTCGTAGGAAATGAATGCCACAGCACCGGCAGCCTGCGCAAAACTGGCTTTTGTTACGAAACTGCAACCACTAGAACAGCTGGTAAAAAGATTATAACCGAACCCCCTGATGACGAAAGCGATTCCGTTTTGAACTTCATTGGCATTGGAGATTCGGGAACAAGCGTTGATAGGTTGGGTCGGAACGAGTTTAGTGTAAATATAGGAGACATTCTAAAAAAAATAGTAAGCAAGAAACAGAACGCACGAATTGAGACCCAATGCTTGACGTGGACAGAGGGAAAATGGCATCATGACCGGATCTGCCGACGACTTTTAAGGCGATTCGGTCGACAAAACTACACGAACAAAGTGACAAAACTAACAAAGTTGGCACGAAGGAAGCAGGTCACCTACCAAGAGCAACTGATATGCATGACAAAATAAAGGATTGTCGGATAACCTTTGTCTTCACCTTCATTAGTTGGGAAGCTACACAAAACCTACATATCCACAAGCAGACGCCGGAGGCATAAAGTTGGCGCGCATGCTTCTAGCGAGATAGAACGCCTTTGCTAAATACCCCAACTAGTGTAGACTCAAAATAATAGCCGTAAGCTTATTTGAAAAAACGTGCTAAAAATATTAAAAAAATTTTTATTAGCAACAAAATGTTAAATTTTGAAAAGTACATTTGTCTTTGGTGCAGATTAGGCCTTCCCAAATTTTAAAACAAAATATTACTTCATGATAGAGTGCTATTTGCAGCGCCCTTAGCAATTAGTAATGACAATGGAAAATACAATGCTAAAATAGAGTATATATGTTTGACTTATGAAAGATTAGAGAGCTGAGAGCATGGTTCAAAGCCCAGTCAATTTTAGGAGGTACAATGGCCGAGCTAAAGTGCCTACCATCACCGGCCAGTAAATACACAGTTAATGAATGACATAGTATTTCCCTGTTGAAAGTACTGGAATTTCACAGTAAGAGTTATTTCGTAGCTTCTCTTCGCGAAACGTGATTAAATATAATGAGGGCGGTATTGTTTATCTATTCAAATCCGAAGATTGAAAGGTGCCCATCACTACGTCGTGGGACAGTAATTCGATGCGAATTTAAGCAAAAACTTTAATACGATGGTGGTTTACCCCCTTGGTATTGGCGAGGCGCCACAGTTTACTCTGAATTAGCTCTCTTGTACCTTGTAGGGTTAGCTGGCCTTTCAAGCCATGCCAATAACCCATACACCTTTTCTGTGCTAAATATATGTGTATTTTGCCTAAGTATTTTAGCTTTTTTTCTTTTCAAGGAGTCTCGGGACGCTACATAAGGGCAGCACCTTAACCATATGTGATGCATGTTTAAAATAAGCAACCTTTTATTGAGTAATGTTGACTGATCACAAATCTGGAGGTTGGGAGGTCGTCGCACTTCACCTTGCTGTGTAAAACACTGCAACAGACGTTCCGTTAAATTGTATACCTCTAACTAATGACTTATAAGAACAGTCCTTTCGAGACCAAATAGTTCAATTAAAGGTTTTTTAGGCCAAAATTAGAGGTAAAGGGGGGACCTGCAAAAGATGTTTGGTTGGGAAAGCGATGCAAATTAGTAAGTAAGAGTTTATTACACTCCTCTGACTTGTTAAAATTACTCTACTAAACATTTTTCTCGCATTTCTATTCACTTTCTCAAAATCATAAAAATGTTTAGCGTTACTGATTTCGTTTACGCCTACCCTTTACTAATCAATAACGTAATCCTCTTGCGTACGGCTTTCTAATTTTGGGTCAAACAACAGGTTGAAAATTGCAAGTGTAAAGATTTTAAAAAAATTATCTTGTTCGGAATCACAGTAAAGTAAATGTTTAATTTTAACAGACCTGCTTTTTATTTTAGACTCTGTGGTCAATTTAACTTTTCTTTAGTTCAGTTTTTGGTTTTTGCTTTAGTTGCAGTTTAAGGTAATGATTTCCGGGTATATTACATTTTTTCCCATTTGTTTGTTTTAAATTGTCCCCCTAAAAGGCTCTTTTGACCTCTGATTGGCGATTGGTAGGGTTTTACGCACGCAACATTTGTATCTCTGATGAGGAATCTTAGGACACTTGCACATGCGTGTAAGACAGTGCCAGGTATCGCTATTAATGATATTCATGTCGATAAATTCTCCGATTTTTGGATTGCGACCAATGCGGGTCTAAGATGTGTTCAACGCGGAGGCGGTTTTGTAACACATTTCCATGAAAAATGTGTTTTAAAAATTGCTTACGTGAATCCTCCGTTTGTGTGTATTCAATGTGGTGATTCTATTATTTTGTTTGAATCTCCCGACCAGGTTTGATTAATTTTTTTAGGCCTAAATCTGCTGGAGATTTTAGTATGTCAATGTTTTGGTGATTTTATTCACGACTGCATTTTTTCTCCCCAGTCTCACGTTGGGGTGGTTGTTACAGGTAAAAATTGACCTTGACGTAATACCTGTTTAGCTAACAACAAAGCTTTTCTCATTAATTCTTCCATAGAAATAATGGCCACCATAGACTTATTCAATCTCAGCGCCGAAAAACGTATTTTTTTCACTTTGACATTAATTCCTTTCTAAGTCAACTTCGTTAGTGTGGGGTGGGGTAATGAGGAAACCCAATTTAAAGGGGTCAAAAAGAGGGCAGAGTACGAAGCCGAAATAAAGGTATGTTTCCAGTTCAAGGGATCTTCGATTCTTGGAGGTTCTTTCTGCTCCTTCTTCCGTTCTGCCCGTGGAAATTGCGTGGCGTGAAGATGGGGCATATTTTGTGATCACATGGTCAGACTCAAGTGGTCCTGAAGCCCGGCGTCGGCTTCACATTTTTGAAGCCGGTGGGGTACTTCATTCAGTCGGTGCAGGGACCGACGCGTTAGAGACTGGACTCTGCTGGCGGTAGGTTAATTCATGATCTCTTATCCTTTCTCTAGGCCGAAAGTTCAATTGATAGCCGTCAGCAAGCGTCGTGCTGGCAGCTGTCTCCAAATGGCTTTCTACGAGTTGAATGGCCTTCAACACGGCGAGGTTCATATGCTTTCCGCGCCAGACTGTGATATGTTTCGTATTGGAAAGACCACCTTCGACATGGAGGAACATATCATGGCAGTTCTCTTTCTTCCACTTGACTCAGCTAACAATACGAATCTCCCCTTTGGTGAGGTTTTTGTCATCCTGCTTTTAAATGGGTCATGACCCTGGTTCTGGAACCTGTTTCCAGATGAATTACTGTGCAGAACACCTTTTGTCCTTCTGTGTGAAAGTAATGTAGAGCCGTCAATTTCAAAGTGGCAGGTATCTCAAGTACCATATTGCGTAACTCTAATGGTGACCTTCTCCCTCATTATAGGTTCTTTTCATTAACGTGCTTCTATTTTATGCCTTGAAGGCTTTCATATTAATGGTTATCTCAGTTGTGATTTTGCCCCGAATAATATTGTCAGGCATTAAGCATGCTTTTTATTCTTGGTTACCAGCTGTTATCCCTATATCAGACTGCATAAATGAATAAAGGCCCTCCACCGCTTCGTTCTGTACTACTGGTTTCTTTGTGTTTTGTGAATTCTTACAAATTGTTAGAGTAACTTCAAATGAGTATTTCACATGGACGAACAATCTATCGCGAACGCAGTTCCTAACCCATTTTGCTGTACACTGTTGGGTTTTATGGCGTGAACGTCCGCTACTGACTAGCTAGATTGACTGGCCTCTTGGCTACTTGCCAATCCAGTCTGACGCGAAGACGATAAAAAGAATTAGGGTATGGGGCTCTTACTGTCTCAGTTTGGAGACCAAGGAATATTCACAGTACTCCTGTGTATCTAGCTTTTAAATGCCTTTGCGCACCCGTTTATTAGCAAACGTAAAGTGAATTGTCACGGAACATGATCAAACAGAAAAGGCAGCGGCAAGAGTGCCAAATATACGTTTTCTAAAATAAGGATCTTGGCATAATTGAGGAGGGCTCAATTTTCCAGAAAAGTATGGTTATTCGCAGCTCTGAGTGTGGAGCATTTTTGGATTTGCAAATGTCCTGAGCACTTTGGAAGCCCATTACCAGAATAACTAGTCGGAAGATCGTAGTTCATTGAATGTCCTTTACGAGAATCTGTTTCTGGAATTCCAATTCTCTTCTGTCTTAATTACCACAGTGAGGCTCTACATCAGCTCCAACTACCACTGGAGCATGAAAACGGAACTATCGCCCCTGCCACGGCCTCGTCCCCCTCCGTCTACCCCACTGGGTCGGGTCTCGTTGACCTTCGGTAATGCTAATGAGGCTGGCACCGTCACTCTCTACACCGCGGTATCCCTCGGTATTGGGGTCGAGGGTAGTTATCTCTCCTCTTGGTCGCTCGTTGGCTGCATCGATCGGAGCGCCTGGCACCCCGGTGCCGAGGACCCCGCCATTGTCGCTGTTATCGACAGTTGTAAGTGGCACTATTTGATATTACTAATTTCCTCGAATAATTATTTGTCGTTATTTCTACTCATGGTTATTATCATATACTTCTGAAACCGACTCATCGAAAACGCATATCTTTTTATTACCGAAATATGGTTGAGGAACCGTCTATCTGTGGTATCCGCAGTTTCCAAGATTGCGATGATTTTAGAACATCGTAGCGTATTTTTAGTTGTTGTTATCATTGACATTATTTCCACAAGAGTGGTGTTTTTACCCATACATCCCGATTCGTCCTCTAGGGGACTTACCGGAGTACTTTTTGAACGGGGCCATTGTACTCTTATTCAACGGGAGGTGTTAAGATCTTAACAAGTTTGCTGCCATCAATGGTCGTGACCACGCATGGTTCATTTTCCCCTTTCACTTTTTAGTTCCATTTTTCCAATTTGTCTTACACATTATTAAATTAGCCTTGGTCTTTTTTATTGATCATAACTCTTCTGGTGAGATTGAACTCATGAAAACGCATTCTTGCCCCTTAGCTTCAATAGCCCTGCTTCGTAATGTGGGAAATCGGATCTAATTGCATAGTTTTGAACTCCTCACCAAGTATGTAAACATAACCTTTGATGAAATTGATCATGTCAAGGGTAACACGGCAAAGTAGTATGAGAGCGGCGGCAGTTTGTAGAGACTGTGCATGATAGCAACATCAGCATATCACAAAATCTTTTACTCTAGCGGCACCTAAGGTCCAACTGTGTTTTAGGAACCCTATCATTTCAAAATGTTTAATTCCAACTTTAACCGAAAGAAAGCATTTAAAATATCCTTCTCTCTTTTAATCAGCGACCTGATCGACAAATAGCCAAGTTACTGTTATAAAAATCTTGAGAGCACGGAATTAGGTGAAGCTACTTCATTTCCACTTCCTCGAAGGTAACGTAGGCCTGACTGCCTTAGCGCACGCCACTATCCCACCACCTATGTGCGCCACCCGCCTCATCTTTCCCTCGGCCGTAGGCGCGGTGAGTCTCTCGCCCGCGTGGCCGAATGCGGTTGACGATGGCGTCACCCTTTTCGTCCAGCCCACTGATTCTACTGCTGCACCCTGGGTCCTTGCGCTGGCTACCAACTGGTGTGGCCCTCAGCGCCTCACCTCGGCTAACCTGACGGTGCTGCAGCAGAGGCAACAGGCTGCGCCCGACAGTGCTCCTTGTGCCACTAAAGCATGGGCCCTGAAGTAGGTTTCCCTGTGATAGGTGTCTACCACATCCACACTTGTGTATGCTGTAAAAATAGGCGGCTTTTTGAGACGAGGTTGTTGGTGTTGGATCTTTTGGTGGCTCTCTACGCAATCATTCAATCGAGTCGTCAGCGAAACTATCTTCATGGAACGTCTGCGCCATTATTAGGAAGTTGTGCGACGGGAATTGAACAAAAAACTACAGCATTAAGGTGGTGGCCGCATTGTGGACAACTCTAAGGCCCACATTGGTAAAATATGGGACTAAAACGTTCCTCCGTTAGATTTGTATCGCATTGCTTTTTATTATGCATGTGAGGGGTTGGCTTATCTTGCGGCGTGATTAAGCTTAGTTGACGAGGCTTGCAGGCCTCATGTCTACCTTTCCCATTATTTTTAATTTGTGGATCAAATACATTTTGAGCTTCCGTAAGGGTCATTTTACCATTCTTCATTTTGAATATTATCTACGTATCGAAAAAGTCTGTTTTTCAACTCCAAGATGTGTCACACTCCATATCACTTTATTCTTTTGAAATATGAACTTACTCACTTTAGTGGACCTTCACTTTTTTGTTACTTGTTTTGATCAATGAATATAAATGTTTCTAAAAATCAAGCTTTAAGCTATCCTTCGTAGAAATGTTTGTTTACACATTAGGCGTTTGCGCTCGTTAAGGTGGCATATTTTTCAAAATCGTGTCGGTTTTATTGCTTTTGTCTTCTCTAAACCCTGTGCTACAATATAGCTTTCAATTTGTAATCGAAAACTGTGGAACTTATACCGTCCTTATCCGTGAATTTACTGATTTTGGGATGTTTCTTAACGGCTTTTTCACTGTCCAGTTCTCATATTTTCTGTTAATGATTCACAAGGTTTTGTTTTCTGTGCCTGTTCTAGTAGCAATGTTAAATGCTTTTGTACTATCTTCGCCAGATTAACCGAGGTTTATTGAGACTGATTTGCTTTTATAAACGTTAAACTCATTTTGTCCATTTGTCCCACTTTAGTTAGATGAAGCATTGCTAGTATAGTTTACCGTCATCCTCACTTCATAGCCCAAGTTTTCAGTAAATTTTTAAGGAACACGCCTCGAGCACTTGCTTTTTTATTTTGGTTTCGTTGTTATTAGAAAGGATGCAGTGGTTTATGCCAGCGAAACCGCTTCTTCTATATTCCACGGTCAACTGCTGCATGCTACATGGATTTCTCCCAAGAAGCTTTGCTTTGTCTCTCAGGATGGGCGTCATCTTGGTATGCTCACTCAATTGATGATGAACGACTCAGTCACTTTTGAAGTACGGTGAGTTTTGATAGCCTCGTCTGTTTCTGTGTTAATCAAGCTTCAAGTATGATTTCCTCATATTTTAAAGTTTAATACCAATATAACAATGCGCCCGTTTATGGTAATATTCACCTGGAAACCAACCCAAATCCCTAATTATGCTAGCATCGTTTCGCCTTAAAATGAAGTGAATTTTCTTAAACTGATTTCACTGTGCTTGGCAGCTCTAAACTTAAGTTATAATCTTTTAGAGGTCATGACGTATAAATAAAAATAAATTGTTCGGTTTTCATTAAAAGGCTAAAAATTTTGACGTTCGTAAAAACTGTATACCGTGTTAGAAGTATTCGTTTAAAACTAGTAGTGCCAATGATAGCTCAAAACCGGAAATCGTAGATGCAGAATCAGTGAAACAAAAAATCAGTAAATGCTTCACCACACTTCAATATCTGTGGCTGGTTGCTTGTGACACTGTAATGCAGCATAATATTGGTCACTTCGTCTAACTGGGTATCCTAATAAGACCACTTGCAATTAATGGATGCTTGTCATGGTGGTTTTTAATACGGTGGTTATTTTAGGTGTCTCGCTTCCCTCGCCAACACTGCCACCTCCGTTATCAACGGACTTGTATATGGACTCAGCGGCGAAATCGTTGTTCAAGTTGGTGATGGAGGCATTCACATTGTCAAACTTAAGTGCCTCGAAGGTCAGCTTTTTGTGCAAATGTTTGTTATATATTTGAGCAAACTATCAAGCTATACGAGTGCCAGCTATGCCGATCAGTAGTGTTTCACACCGTCCTGCTAATTCAAAATTTTATTTGGCATGTTCTTCATTTTAATGTAGATACTGCGAGATGTGGAAGTACCGCAGTTTACGAATTTCCCGACGTAACCCCTGCCAGCTTTCCCTTCGCCTGCGACCAAATCTATGCCGTCTCCTTCAGCTGCCAGAGTCAGGCTTTGCACCAGACCCACCTTGTGGGTCTGCAATCAAGCAGCCACCAACTCTGCGCGTTGCCATGGCCGACGCCAGCGACAAGGGCGACGATGACTGGCGAGTGCGTGATGCGTTCGTGCTCATCCCTTTTCCTTCACTCTGACTTTCTGCTTGTCACCAGTTTGAAGAACCAACTGTTCACCGTGCCTTTGGCTTTGGAATCCATGGAATGTAAGCCTGGAATGTACTGAACCACTCTAAGCGCGAATTAAAAGGTTTTTTGTGACGTAGATTTTCACAATCAATCTATTAGGTATGCGTCATTTTCCCTCCTATCTTAATGAAAGAGTGTTTTCGATGCTCCTACCCAACATTTGGTTGAGTCCATTAAACTTCTTTATTTAGGCAATATTGGTGTTGAGGTTGATAAGGTCCTTTTAGTACATTCTTATGTACCAAGTTTAAAGATAGTTTTATACTCCTTTGAAAGCGTAGAAATCATTACCAAATTGCTTAATGCGCACTTTTCCCGCTTATTTTAGTTCACTCGGTCGTGGCAAGCCTGAAGAAGCGACTGAACAGCAATAACTTCGCACCACGAGCTCTCGAGTCGGGTGCGCGTCTGGTAGCCGCAGTGGCACGTGCCTCCAAGACTGTGCTCCAGATGCCTCGTGGAAATCTCGAGGAAATTCACCCACGAGCTCTTGTCTTCAATCACCTTGCACCAATTTTCGATAGGTTGACCCCTCTCATTTCCCTTGTTTTTCATTTTATGAGATCCGACATTTAATCAATGTTTTCACTAGTTAAACTAAAATCCATGGTCAGGTGTCTGGAAAAAAGTGTATTTGAACCTAGAACCAAATCGTTTTTGACCGATTTTATATTTTCGTTTCTCATAAAGTCTGGTGGGTCATGAGGATCTAGCGATGAAATCATTGGGAAATCCAAAATAGTGCTATTTTTTAAAGTCTGAAAGCGTTATTTCGTAATTTCTTTGAGCTTAATTTACTCACTTGATGCATTTTGAATATTTGAACAGAATAAATTTTATTTCACAATCCAACTTGGATTTAATAATGCACCAAATGTAATATTAGTCTTAACTGCGACTATATCCTCAGCTCCAATTAACTTTGAGATGACTCAAAGTTATGTGAAAGGTGTATTTAAACAAAAGTCTAGTAGTGTTATATATTCATGTATTTCAGGATTTAAGGCAATTCACTAGTATTCATTAATTTCGGGCGATGAGTACAGTTAAGTCTTTCCTGGTTCTCCTTTGATGGAAAATTGCAAATTCTTCTTCACCTTTTCAACTTTGGATACCGTATGCTACTTAAAGATATTAATACACGTAAAATCCTAGATAGTGGATGGATATGTCAATGTAAGTGGTTTTTGTCCCATTCCTGGGTATCTAGTTCATGCGCCCGAAACGATAATATAATCCCCTCATGGTCATTAAACTACGTTGAATCAATTAAACATTACTTATGAAAGTTTACCCAAAATGAAGTCCACTTTTGGATTTGCCACTTTTGTACGAAATAACCTTATAACCTTTTGTGATGTGTCAGAAATTTGCACTGATTAGGGGTAAGCGTAGGTGTTTACAATTTTCAAAAGTTTATGCCAAAACAAGCGGACTCATGAAACTTTTTTCACTACCCTTAATTATATTATTTTTACAACAGCATGCGTTATGCAGACGCGATAGAGACAATGCGCCGTCATCGGATCAACTTCAACCTCCTCTACGACTACGATCCGCCCAAATTCCTCTCAAGCGTTGCCAATTTCGTGCACCAAATTTCCTCGCCCGAACACATCACTCTCCTCGTCTCGGACCTAACGTAAGTTTGCAAGGGGAGAAAACTGCTCCACCAATAGTCATTTCCATTTCATGGGGAAAATTTTGGTTTTCCTCGCTGAAACTACTGTCGGATATAGTGATTTCAAGACTGATAATACCGAGTTTGATGTATTTTGCCAGTTAATTCCCGCGTCAAAATACAACGTGCGCTATTTGAAGAAATCTTTATTTGTTTTGATTATTTTTGGTGCAATGTGTTAAGTATAAACCTTTACAATTATCGCAAATTTCAAATTGTTCCTTGTTAATGTGTGCCTCAATCTACTAGTGCATTTCCAACTAAGTTGAAAACCTCACCATTAGGTAGGGTTTGCTTCCGCTCGTTAGTTTGAATACTGGTTTTTTTTCCTGCTCTTTCTCCACAGCGAGGAAGATATAACAAAAACAGAGTACAACGGATTCTTTGGGAGCAAACGACCCCTAGCTCAAGCTGCTCTCGCCGAAGTTGCTACTCATATTCGTGATGATTTCCCTCGTGCTCCTTTGACCGAACCGTACCCCGCCACAAAGGTAAATCTCGTCTGTGAAGCTCTCCTCAAAGCCATGCTTCCCGAGCCTAAGAAGTAAGTCCATTGCTGCGGTAGTGAGTGTTATGCTTGTCTGAGCGGTCATGAAAAGTCTCAACATTCCGCTTAGCGTGATTCTTTAGTGTTACAGAGCTAGTTGTGGGTTTTCATTGGTGTGATCGTGTTTCAGATCTTCGATTCCCTACGAAGGTTTTTCTAATCAAGACAATCAGATATCGCTGTAGATTTCCTAATTTTGCGTTATTTTCATCGAACATCTGAATGATTCCTCTATAAATGGAAATACTTAGGCTAACTCCGGACTCTATTGTTATCTTTATTAGATTCATTCTACCGATTCTCACCTGCTACGTGAAAATGCAGCCTCAAGAGGTGGAAAAGGGCCTAGCCCTTCTTAATGACTTTAAAGGTACTCTATTTATAACTCTTTCAATGAATTAAAAATTTGAAGTTCATATTTTAATCAATCGTCGTTTTAGTCACAGAGGCCAAAACACATATCTAATCTTTTCTATTTTGAAATTACTCCATCCATAAAGATTTATTTTAACAACTAATGGGGAATAAGTCTAATTTCTAACTTAGTTCTTAAGTTATAGTTGATGTCTTAACTGAATTTCTCTGCTCTCTGGTTCTGGATGAATTGATTCCTTATCTGCTTGCTCTCTCAGAAGGTGCGATTGTACTTTTTCTCTTTTTACTGCCTTCAGACAAGGGTGATGTGGATGTGTGGGAGCGGGGCCTACGTCAACTCCAGTACTACGTCTCGCCCGTGAAGCTTTTCCATATCGCTCTGGGCACCTACAACCTCGTCCTAGCCGAAGCTATGGCTGACCGTACCCAATTGGACCCCAAGGAGTACCAGCCCTGCCTGCAGCAACTACGGGCTCTTTGTGCAGACACTGGTGACAATCGCATAGCCAGCACGGCCTACCAGCATGCTCGAATTGATCTGTTGCTGCATCGCTACTCCAAGGCTCTTCAAAGTCTTCATTCAGCGGGTGGGTAAAAAATAATCATACCGCCTCTTTGTTAGTGTCTGTGTTTATAGAAACTCGTTCTTACGTGCGTAGGTTTGACCCATTGGGAGGAGTTCCGTGAGGTCGTGAAGAAACAGAAGCTCTTTTCAGAAGCACTGGATTTACTCGTGCCAGGGACTCCGCAATTCTCTGTTCGTCTCAGCTTCTCCTTTCTATCGCGTTTATAAATTTATCTGTTGGCGGTTCAAAGAGAAAGGGGTTAAAATCAGTGGCACTAGATCAGTGGACGCAACGGTAGATAATATTCTTTATAGCAGCATTTATCGAAAGTGGTATGAAAATATGTGACGATTAATTGATGAGACTTCATGTAGTGGCTTCAAAATCAGTTGGGATATTGTTTTTCTCTGTGGTAAATGGCCGTTACCTTTCTTAAATGCATTTCATCAGCATCCTCTACTCCACAGCTAGTAGACCTTCTTCCCCTATACTTAAGCTTCATTTAGACAATAGTAAATCGGTAAGCTATCGGAAAGTGTGTGAAATGTTAGGAAAATCGAATTTCTCTGTGTCAAATCCATCACCAAGTAACGTTTGTAAGTCTCCTTAGTTATGCCACCAGTACTGAGTTAGGAACGGAGTTGGATGTGGTTGGGCAGTAAGATTCACCCTTTGCAAATCTCAGGAGATCAGCAGGCTGTGGGCGAGAGAATTGGTGGCATCGCGGCGCCTTGTGGCAGCTGGAGAGGTGCATCTGCGCGCAAATCATTTCGCCTCCGCCGCGCTCATCTTCCTCTCTACTAACTCCACCCGTCGCTGGCGTGTCGCCGTCGCTTGTGCTGCGGCCTCCTCAACCGCCGACGCGGAGGCCGAGGAAGTGCTGTCCGCCGAGGAGGTTCACTGTCAGGCCTCGCGCCTCGCCAGTGAGTAGGCCACATTCCTCTCTTTTTCCTCTCTTTGAGGGGCTTTGTGGAGACTTATTTGATCGACAACTTTGCATTACTTTTGTGTTCATTTTCTGTTGATGCGTATTTAAAACTGCTTAGTGGAATTGCTTTTATTGTCTTGTTTCAAATATATGTGCTACATTAATTTACCTCAGAATTTTGTTTAGAAATTTTTACGATATTGTGATTACACCACAATCGTAGCTGGCCTTATTGGAGAAGTAGTTTTGAGGAATCTTGTTTTAAATCTACTTCTGGATAGTTGTTTTTTTTTGTAGAAATTTCATGTCATTTATTTTCTACAAATATACAAAACATTATGAATAATAAGATTTTATATTTGTAAAACTCTCGTTCTAGTTTCGACAATTTGGTTTCATTCGTATTGTTTTACCTTCAAAACATTGCTGCAAATTTAATCTTTTAGTCCTAACATATTCCTACTGCATGATTATAGGTGATGAAATGTTTGACATCATTAATACTTCGAAAAATTCCATCGTTGAACTGGCTTCAATTGCGCAGTCATTCCTTGAATAACGAAACCTGGGGTCGCTTGAATCTATTTCGCTTTAAATAAATGGCCTTATTTGTTTTAGATGAAAGTGCCTCGAAAAAGGGAGAAAGCATTACTACTAAAGGGAAATTTTGAGAGCTTTTCTGATCAAAACAGCTAATTAGATAATTTCAAAGCGATGAGTTACATGATGGGGAATATGATCTAATTCAGTGTATTTCATGCTTAAATTTCAAATACCGTTGAGTTCGTCGTGCCAATACGAAGTAACGTCCTTGATATAGCACTTTTGCAGAGGAATGTAAATGCAAATTTGTAAATAGTATGTCATTGATGGCCTTATTTTACTTATTTAGTTGGGTTTCCGAGTGAAAATATGTCAATTTTGACCGATCAATGACCTAGTTGTTGTTTCGTATTTATATCCTTTTCTTCCAATCCAGTGAATCTCACGTCTCTTGGTCGTTTCGAAGAAGCTATTTCAATCTATTCGGAATGTTTACATGTGAGTATCCCTCCTATTCTGTCCTTCCAAATTGCATATTTCTTTCCTAAATCAATGTTGTTCTTTTCTTTTGCCACGCAGGACTACGAAGGTGCAGTCAGCATAGCCGCTGAAGGCGGTCTCTGGTTGGAGGCTCGCAGATTGGTGAGCGTGTAGAATAATAATTTTTTACAAGAAATCGATTGTGTATAAGGAAGTCCCCAGATCCTTTCTAATATTGAATGCTTTATGTGGAAAATTCGAGAAAATACTTATGAGGGTATTTTCTGCAATAATAATATAAGTGTAGAGTCATTGATTGCATTCGCTTCAGGCATGTGCTTTTCATTTTCTCTTTGCTTAATTGTAATAATCAGCCTGTAGTTTTTATGAAGGAATGACTGATTTCACTAGAATTTGCAAATGAACTAGTTGGCTTTGCTTTCGTTCTTTAGTGTATCATTTATTAGTTTACTCATTTGATTTAATAGCTAAGAAATCGTAGAAATTTAAAATGTGGGCTTTTCTCATGCTTTTAAAATAATGCGCGGATTATTTATTCTACCCATTTCATGCACTAAATTTCAAGTATTTGATTCAACTATCATTCTTTATTTACCGAATATTTATTATTTAGAAACGAGGTTTAGCGAATCTTTTGGAGTGTTCTTCGAGTTTGGCGGAAGGGCATATTGTGTTAAAAGCACTTGTAGAGTGATTTATTTTTACTGTGATACAACTCTTCTCAAAATGAAGTATCCCATTTACCTGGGTAAAAGTACCTTTATTTCCCTTCTGTCTGAATCGTCGTTATACCTACATTATAGTAAAAAAAATGAAGCGTAATGAAAATAGTTCATAAATTTCTTTTGGTAAAAGGCTCATCATGCGGCCGACACGGGTTCGATGATGGCGCTGCTCAAGCGCAGCGCTCTTAAGGCCTCCGAAGATATCGCTGTTCGACTGACTACCGAGGCAGAGGATTTTCGCAAGTCTTTTGAGCGTCTGCTTGAGATCCGCGCGGAACTGAAGGAAAGGACTCTAAATTCCACCTTCGGGGTCGGCGACGAAAGTATGTCGCTAGCTGTTGATAACGACTACTAACAATTGTTTTGGTTTGCTTGTCCGTTGGGACAGAAGTGTGGGGGCAATTAATTATAGAATATTCTTTAATCCAAATGACTCACGAAGGCTATTGTTTTTAACAACTTCAAACAATTGGAATGTTTCAAGTGGTTTTGCCGACAATATTTGAATTACGGTATCTGATAGTGCTTTTGTCGGGCATCTTTCAGGAAATCTTGGGAACTACATTTTAGACGTGTTTATTTCATGGCATCAGCAATAATTCGTAAACTTATGAGAATAAAAAATGCTGTGATTCAAATGGCAGTTTTTTTGTTTTTGTGATATGCACCTGATGAAATCGCGCCTTTTCTTGAACTTTTGTGAGACCGTCAAAAAGGTGATAGAGTTGACCGAATTTTTGTTGATTTGTAAGTTTTTTTTTTGGTGGAATTCAGACGGAAAATTGTAGTGGTAAATAGTAATGCGTGAATTCTGTTTAAATGGTAGAAATTTAGATCAAGTTGTGTTGTAGTGTCTTATGTTAGTGAATATTCAACTTTTCTGTTGTTTTTTTCGTCAGGAAATTAAAGACACATATTTTTAGACGTACCACTACCTGTGGTGCAAACCTTTCCATAGATTTCAAACCTGTAAGGGCAATTTTCTACCCTCACCAAAATGTCATAATTGAGTACTTTTATCTCCATGTTCTAACACGATGTCTGGAAAAATAGTTTATTTTTTTTTGCTTATTGACCCTAATAGCCGATAAGGAAGTTAAATTTATATTTTGTAGTTTTCGATAACACCGAGAGCGAACTCTTCTCGGATACTGGAAGCGTCGTCAGTGCCACTTCGGTGGGAAGTCGTGATAGTTTCTTGTCCAAGAGTTATGGGTAGGGAATCTTATTGCTCTCACATTTACGTTGTTTAAGATGCTTATTCGCTCTTATTCCTAGAAGAATAAGTAGTATTTTTTTTCTTTGAATTTGAACAAGCATTTGCCAAAGTAGCGTGCGATGTGGCAGCTGATCACTTTCTTATACAATAACTGAATAGGTTAATTTTTTGTTCCGAGATTTTTTTCAAGTTTTGCACAAAATCTAACCTTTTCTCGAATGGGTGAACCAATTATATGATGCCTTTTTGATCATTAATTCAGAAAATCGTCGGATAACTTAACCTCCAACATCTCGGCATAGCTACTTCTTGTAGTGTTTTACATAATTTCCAGTTGTATTTATTAGCTCATCACTTCTGGATTTTAGGCTTGCTGCATTAGGATGTCAATAAATAAATATAGAAGGCCTTGGGATAACTTGATGACCCCCTTTTTTCGTACTTATAGTTGCCTCTGGTGAAAATTCAGATCTTTCTGCTATTTTATATTTTGATTGCGCACTGCGCTTTGTGGAGTCTGGCGTGTTTAACCAAAACCTTTTTGACACCAATTCATGATCGATTTGGCCATTACTTTTCTCCGCCTTTTTTTACAGGCGATCTCAGAAAAACCGACGGAAACGTGAACGCAAGTGGTCCACAAAGCGAGGCAGCAAGTTTGAGGAAGTGGCACTTATACAGGTGCTCCATACCACTATCGCGTCCTGTCAACGCCTTTTCGGTAGGGCTACGCCAAATCCCTTCATTCATTTTCATTTTCATCTCCATTTTTCTGACACCTAGAAACTATCCAAGCCCTTACTGATGAATTATGGCGGTGTGGTGAATCCGCAACGGCTGCCAAACTTGCTCGTCAGGCCGACGGCCTCTTGCTCGACCATCGCGCGGCTCTAAAAGTTGTTTGGTGCAACGAAATCACTGGAGAGACGGTAGGCTCTGTTCAGACCTATTTTCATATTTCTATTATGTTCTAAGGGTTGTCATGTGTTTTCCTTGCGTTTATCTGGGTTTCGCTCTTGTTTTCCGACACTAATATCCACATTTGATTTACTTCGTAAGCAGCCGATTAAATCAAAAGTAATAAGAATGGTAGACCAAGCCCATTGAAATGTAGAAATTAACCGTAAATTGATATTGGCAATACCAATTTTGGTCACTTCCTGAATTTTTGTCTCAACTCAATCGGTTTGACATCCGTGAATACGCCACTGCAAAGTTAGATACTTTTAGGTTTAATAGCAAATAAAGCATCATCTACAAAGACCATTATCCGTCCTCGCCTAGGTACGGAAATGCTCGATTTAAGGTTTATTTTGTTTCCGTGACCTTTTATCTTCACCAAATATAATTTTTTTTACTTGTCATTAAAAATAAGCATACCACTTAATTGCATACAACTCCCGATTAGGCACTATAGTTATACCGTAGTACGCCGGTAAGTGGGTCTGTGATAAGCGTACAGACTGGTCGGGAGAATAGGTGGCCTGATTAATATGAACAGCGCATGCCATCCATTACGACAGCCGAAGAGCCTGTGTGAATGAATCAAATAATGCTCCATCATGTATCAAGGTTGCATTGCTGATGTAACTCTCCCCGTTTCTTTCAGGCCCTGGGACTCAATGAAGACGGTGATGTGAGGCCAGCGAGACGCTACCCGTTCCATGGTAAGCGGTGTTTAGATGTCAAACTTCTTTTCGTCGTGTTGCTCACTCAGACCTGGCGCTGATGTCTTGTAGAGACCTTCCTACTCTTCCCACCGGTTATGACGATTCAGCGGATCAATTGTGACTTTCTGTGAGGAGATGCTCCCGCTGCGGTGGTAGTAACGGCTGACTAAATTTTACTGTTGCGGACCCTTTGGAAGAGATTAATGCGCGTAAAGCTGCAAAACTGATGTTATGCTAACTTGGGTTTCGCATGCGGAGGACTAATCGGTTCGTGCATTTTGGGCACCTCCTCTAACCTTCATGAGATGCAAGTGAATTAGTGATTCCATGAATTTTGATTTTCCATAAATGCGTGTAAGTTAGGCTTCCCTATTGACAGTGATAGCTACTTCAATAAATCGGATGTGGTAGATCAATTCAATTTATCATACGAGACTTTTAACATAGCTGCGTAGAATTACGGCTTATTATCTGTCACTTTCCGCAAGATCGAATACAGTATTTGCGATACTTGATTAGAATTTCCATAGCTAACAGATCAGACCTATTTTAGAAAGGCATGAGAATTGTGATAAATTCCGTATGAAAAGCGTGGGGTTATCAAAGTGGGCTAACGTAAACGCATTCACGAGGAGCGAATATACTGTCGACTTTGGGTGAGCAAATCTTTCTCGTCAATCAGCGTCCATTGCGCAGTGGGGTTGACTGGTGGCTGTGAGGCCTAATGTATTCATTGTGTTGAAAATATCTTGCGTAGATCACCCTCTGACAACTATGCTTCGGAAGACACATCAGTCTCACTAGGCGATTCCAGTCTTGTAGCTTTTTCGGTGGCGTCACCACTTGTTAAGATATCTAGCTATTTTCATGCGGGTGTTTTTGTTACTACTACCACTATTTGCAAATTTCTATAAGGGTGATACCCCGTTTGCCTTCATATCCTCCCTACCACACGATGGGCATGGTACAACAAATTACTCACTGTGGAGAAACTGGCAGTGACTGCCTGTCAAGCACGAGCTTGGGTGTGTTATGGAAGCACCATTCATAAGAGCGAATTAAACCCCATGAGCGTAAAAATTGGAACACTTATGACATTACCCGCATCTACGTATCCCGGAAGAGAGACTTTCTTCAAAACCTTGGTGCCAATGAGCTTTATTTTTGTATATAGCTAAGAACAAGACGAAGATGCCAATAAGAAGACGGCAACTGATTAACTTAATTTACCGAGTTAGGTTCATCTTAACATATGTATGTATAAGTACCATGTCGATTGGCATAAGGAAGGAAATAAGATATGTGGAGTGATGACGGGGCGGGAATGACAAAATCAAAAGCTGAATGACTCGTGGTATCGTCCGAAGCGGAAGAGGAAAGCGGCAATAAAAATGAGAAGGTTCTGCAGGAAGAGTGCGACACCCGGCCAGACGGGCTTGATATTGCCGGTAACGTAGGAGGCGAACATTACCCATGCGGCAGCGATTAGAGTTACAAAGTTAGTAAGCACGCCTACAAACAACACGGTGCAGGCTTTCGGGTCCTCAATATCACTCGTTAACTGGCAAGCGATAAAAAATTGTAAATTGAGCATCTCAGTAACACGTGAACAGTTGCGACTTAGATTCTGGAATACATCTGCCGACAATAGTAAAAGTTGCACAAGTAACCTGTTTACACGCACCCCAGGGAGCAAAGTGTACTCTTTTTGGAAAACTATCACAGATATCAACACACTGCTAACAAATACTGGTGCAGATGTGGATTTCATTGAACCACTGATATAGACTATTAGCAATTTGTAATTTACTCAGTCTATTCCACAACCAGTTGCTTGAGAAGCGGTCATTAAATATCTTAAAATGTAGTATTGTGAACAGGTGCTATTCTTACCGCGTGTTGAGGTATGATGTTGAGAAGTATGAATCCCACAGTAGCGATAGCCCCAATCGCATGAGTTGGATGAGGCAAGGACTCCGGCCCATAGCATGCAGCGGCATCAATAATAACCCACCATCCGCATGCGAATGCAATGCCAGATAAGACAGCAACGATTGTATTTCGAAGACCAACATCAATGTTAACTTCGGGGAACCGCCGATAAGAAACCATGGGCGTGGGATTCCTACGCGTTAGACGAGACAAAAAATTCGTAAGATTCGTATCAGGTACGATTTCGGGACCATTGAAACAAGCCATATGCGCATTTTAATACTGTTTACGTGTATGTTTCTACTAATATCACAAGCTATTTAACCGCCGAAAATTAAAAACGCAATGAACGGTAATTCTATATCCCCGAACAATTTTTGTTTTTTAACATGTAGGTTTTTTGCTATTGTATTGTGCAGGTTTAACACTTGTTTTCACGGCGCTAAAAGCAATCATTGTCAAAGTGCTCTTCGTGTAATTTATCAATGCGTACTTATTTTGAGGTCAGGCAAGCACTTCTTTAACTGCTTGCAATAGTGCTCTAATTTTCATTCAATAACTTCCACATTAAGCTCGTTTAATGTTTTATGAGCTCATAAATATTTCTCAGTAAATCCCCTCTTTTAAGTGAATACTATGCAACTTAGGAAGATCTACTTGCATGGTAAAAATCACTTTGCCTTCGGTGACAATAAAATTCGGTCTTAGTAGATAAACCGGTTTATTTCCAAAGTTATACAAAGAGCTCATCGCGATAAATCGTCAACCCATTTTACTTAGCATTGCTGAATTATAGACTCATTCAACTCGCAATCCTGCTACCCGTTTACAAAGTTGTATTGCAAAACACTTTTGACTATACTGTAGCGTCCCGAGACATCCCCGAAGATGAAAGGAAACACAACACTGGGTCAGAATACATATATTCTGCATAGAGAAAGTACTAGGGCTACTGGTATGGCCCGAAGACCAGACCACCCTGAGTGGTACAATGGCTAAGTCAGAAGTCGCTCCTCACCAAAACCGAGCGTTTAACAACCAACGTACTACACTACCCTTCAAGTGGTAAGCGGTCAGTTTACTCCAGCCACGTGACTGGGTGGACGCCATGAGCTTCTAAGGCGGGGACATACCCCGATCCTCTTTAAACCTCGATAACCTGATGGCTTCCATCATTCTTCTCGAATATAATATGTACTCCTTTACCCAATCTTCACGCCCCAGGAAACTGAAATCGAAAGCGGAAGAAAGGAACAGGGAATCCGTTACAGAAATATATTCCTCTTGAAATGTATCAGCTCATAACTTTCCTAAACAGATTTTGGTCCAAAATGTTAACGTCCCAAAGCTGAGTAGCTTGACACGCGGTCAAGCATTTCTACTTCCCTGACTACGTAGTTCCCCGTAGATTGTACACTACTAACGACTACCAGTACACTTTACCGCTACTGCCTTTAACGCTGATCGGCAAAGATCTTTGGAGATGGCCTCTAGCCGACACAATTTCTCGCGGCACCCATATGTTATGTACTTGTGTTCGTGCTTATCCTGACTCCTGTCCTGTTAAAACTACATCGCTGCCGTGCTTGATTTCCAGGAATTGAAAACCGTTCCCTTTCAGATCTAAGGATGATAAAGGCTGTCAAACTTCGTAAAACTAAATATTTTGGTTTTGGACAAGTGATTAATAAGTTGAGAATTCTTGCCCCATCTCTGTCGATAGTCGCTACCGGAAAAACCAAATCTGTCATCTCAAACTGCCCACCTTTTAAAGTGGATCAATTTCGATTTAAACGCGTATACTCAGTCACACTCACACAAACATCTCTTCAAGACAAAGCTGTAGGAAAGGGAAATCCACAGGGATTGAGAGAAAATAAAGAAGCAGAACATCCATTGGATCGTACAAGCAAGCAAATATCGTTAATCTAAGCCAAAAAGGAGTTCGAACAGACAAAACCGAGCACCTCTACAGCAGCCACATTAAAAGAGCAGTATTCGGTGCCACCGCCGCCATCGTCCTGATCGTTCCTGCAGCGACCTACATTGATTCGGTCCGTCGGCGCGGTCACCAGACACTCACTACCGAAAGTTGGACTGGGTCCTGACTGCCCGCTCTGCAATCCGGCATCCAGTCGCAGACCTGGCGGGCCCCCGCCTACGCCACCGCCCACTTCAAGAGCACTCTCCGTCGCTTGCTGAAAGTACTCCAAGCCACTAGATATCCTCCACTTGTATACAACTTCGGGAGTGGGTCGCAGGCGAAAGAGGAAGCTCTCCCCACTGCCGTAGAAGCCGCGATCCCCAGTAGACCAGCGGTGAGTGACGAATGCGCCGAAGAGGCCCTCCCTCGAGGCCGTAGCAACGAGGATGAAGGTCTGCGGGCGACCGGTTGTATCGGCGTGGAGACCGCAGAGGCGGTAGAGGCTGCGCAAGGAGGAACCGTCACGCTCGGTGTAGAAGATGACCTTGGGTAAAGAGAATTGTGCGATGTTTTCGTCTCTCACGGCTTGCATCAGGAAATCCAACTCCGCCGCACTGGCCAGATTTGAGACGTTGACATGGCCAGGAGTGGTGGTGGGAGCGGTGACGGCAGCAGCGAATCGACGCGCCTCGAACTCCGCCCTCACCTGGCTGTACGCAGTGAAGGTACGCTGGCCTGGAAGTACGCACGGCATCACAAGGCTGTCGACGATATCCACACCTCCATTTGAGGCTGTGAGGACAAGCAAAAATTCCGATGTCATAAGATATGTACCGGCAGATTAGCAAATTAGTCAAGGTGATTAACAGATCAAGAGATGATTCAAGCACCCACAGGAAGAACAATCGTGAACAGCAGTCAATGCGAAACCCTTAAAAAGTAGGAAGATATGATAAAGTGACTTTGGCAAAAAAACCTCAAATTTTGACGAAGTTTGAATTTTACCAGTTATAAATCGAATGTGCATTCGGTGTTAAATGTTTTAAATCTACTACACTAAATAGGATCCGATTTTGGAAGTGAAAATATGTGAAAAGCACCAATACGACAAAAACATACTGCAGACAATCTTTCGGAATGTAAAAATGCTTGGATTACAAAAAAAAACGCTGTGAAAATCGGGAACAAAACTTTTGAATCACCTATCGGATTATGTAGTGCTAGACGAAAGATTATTGGACGTAGTGGTTATGATGGACGTGCACCAAGTCGTTAATGAAAGGTGGAGCATTTCAAACGCAAACGAAGTCTGTCGCAAAGAAATTGGCGTAAAACCAATAATACGGGAGTTGTAGAGGAGCTCCTTCAATAAAAGTTCAACCGCAAATTGACTTTTAGAATCGAGTCTGCACACCTCAATGAATTTCGTAGTTGCAAGATAAACAGTGGGTTTGAGTCAGAATTTTGCGTAGAGGTAAAAATGAACTCAGCCAGGAGCATTCAATCGCAGCCAAAAGTAAGGTACAAGAAAATTGGTCATAATTCAGTAGAAGTATTTTCTTACAAAAAAGCTTTAACACTGCCTTTTATCCTTCCATAAAGTTGTCAATATATCAGTAGCACGATCAAAAAACCATCTTTGTCGAGATATCCATCTAGAAAAGGATATTGAGAAAAATAAACCTGGATTTTCAACTCAAAACTCGGAGTATGTCTGTATGAAAGACAAAAAAGGTTAGTTATTAATCTATTTATGGGCATGGAAAATGAAATATCAAACAGGATCTATTTTAAACTTCACCTAGTGAAAATTGAACAGGCTGCATCAAAGGTGAGTTTGTTGTTTTAGCGTTATTGCAACATTAAGAAAAAATGAATTTACTTAGAAAACGAAATAAAACAATCAACTGAGACGCGCCCTAGGCTGAAGCACTGACGACCTACAGCAGCGATGGTAGGTGCCATTGCAGAGTAAAAACTGCATTTCCAGACACGCTGTAGCCAATGGGGGGACGAGGGACACAGAGCAGAGGGAGGATCCATCCAGGTAAGAAGAGGAATGACTCACTACTCTTTCCCATGCCCCAACCATCACAGCACAAATCTCCTCCAATCGTAATACACTCAGCAGAAGGTAATTAAATGAAGGAAACCAGTAACTAAAATTACGGGCAGCGGTTTCCAATTGATAAGAAACAATACAGACATTTCATCAACTAACCTACTTTTCCCTGAAAAGCTTTACGACCTCTCACAATAACTGGAATCAGTTTTGCCCAAGTTAGGTATTGAATATCCAGTTGGGAAGCAACGACTTCTGTACATTTGTGACAATAAACTGCAGATATATACGTTGTTTAGATTATGATAATAGTTGCTGAGCCAATTTATTTTTGAAAGGAAAATCAGGGCCTGAATCGATCCACACTCTAATAACTTGGCCATAGTGGATTCAATAAGGGAAAAGAAGGATTGTTTACCATCGAGTTTGCCGATTCCAAAATCATGGGCTTTTGATTTGAGTGCTCTACATCCGATCTCCTAAGAGCTTTGTTGTCCCATTCTTGCGTATACTACTCAAATGTGTTATGGAACTTTATGGGATTGGGGTTCATGCATATTTCAGCTTCAAAGACCCCAAGGCAATGAAACCTAACCTTCAGTTTATATGATATCGGCTTCTTTTCTTGCAATCAGAATTAGTGCTTTCCGCGGGAATATGAGACCAATCCAAAAAGGAAAAATTTGCGAACATATTTTCAAATGATTGATAAATAGGAAAAGAAAAAAATTGACAAAACTTTACAAGATCACCATTTTTTTTGAAGCCCAAAATAAGCACATTAGTGACAAGACTTTTCCTTTCATGATGCGGTATTTAAGCCTCTTCAGGGATGATGGGAATGCGGATGTGAGCTAGATGAAATATTACAGTCGTGCTACGCAAATGGATAAATTGTCAAGAGGAAATTTTTCAATGAAAACCAATCCAATTTAAGGTACTGCACAAGCATCAAGTACAAACAAAACAATGAGATGAAACAGAAAAGACGTCTTTAATAAACACCAAGAACAAAAGCGTCCTTTCCATTATAAACTCATAAAAGATCCACGAAACGTACCACAAGGTATCTAGAACCTAACCGCACGAGTGGTCTAATCAAAAGCGAAAAGTTAGTTAATTTCGTTAGACAATGCGCAAAGGCTAGCAGCAGCGATGAATAAGTGTGAGCACCCAGCTTACCCTGTAGACGCGCCGTTTCCATGTCTTGCTGAAACAAAGGAATTAAATTTGATATTAAAGCGTCTTTTGGCTAGTCCGTTTACTACCAAGTGGCAAAAACTGCTTATTGGAGCATGAAAATATGCAACCTAATGGAAAAGGATGAAGTAATTGTACCCATTTCCGGAGTTAACGTTTACTACTAAATTCAAAAAGAGGGCACAGGAGGTACCCAGAAAATGAGACATTGGAATTAAGGCCCGTAGTAAAAGCAAGACATTAAAAGTCCTGTGTAAAAAACCTTGAAACGCTTTTTAGGTTTTACAATTCACCTATTCCCCGTATTACAACAAAGCCGAGTGAGTAATAATTTTATTCCAAATATTGAGCAAAATATAGCGAGATTTCAAATGTGCAGGTAGTCAAACTATACTGCTTATTCAAGATAAAGCATAAAATTGTATAAGATGCAAGCTTAGTTCTAATTGCAATTTATGACCAACCGACAACCTGCCACAAACAGCCCAACTGGTCTGCAGTGTCAAAATGAAAAAAAAAGAGGCCAAACTAATATTTTAAACATTTCACTGACTGAAGCAAACGACCAAAACGAATATTCAAACATAAAAGGAATTCAGCTGCTGGTGTTCACTAAAGGCTCGAATTAATTTACGACAGGGAAACCTTGTTCTTTGATACGGTAATAAATTAGCATGGTAGAACGATGTCCCTCTGTGATCAAAATAGAAGAATTCTGTTAACGACTTTATACTTGTATTAATTGCTTTTAAAATATGTGAGCCTACCATTTAGAGACGCATGCACAAGTAGCATTTGAGGATGTTTAGTAGAAAATACGTACAATGGGCAGAGCTTAAAAGTATGCTTAGCCACTTAACCTCTTTTCAAAAGTTGAAGTGACAAATTGGTTCAGTAAGAGCAAGATCAGAGTTGTTAGCATGTTATTTAAGTTAAAATTATTAACTGAAAAATAACCCTCCTTATTAAATCATTAAAATTTGCGAATTGAGCATAAATTTAGAAAAAGATTTCAAGTGCAGTTACAAAATTAGCACTTTATGCACGCATTCAGCCATACAAATAATGGTGGAAACGTAATTCAACCAACCAGACCTTGGCACAATTTGGCTGCTTTTCGAACAGCGGCCTCGACTTGCCGCCGCGAAAGTTGGCGGATTTTGAAGGCCTCCTTAAGCAGAGCACGCGCCTTCGAGGCTGGGTAGGCGGTGGCAACAGACTTAAGCAAATCAGCACTCCCCCCCTCTTCCCCATCCTCATCTCCTTCCACCTCCTCTCTCTTCCCCTGCGCCAACTTCCACAGCTGCGAAAAAGCAAAAAAATGCAAAGACAAGGGAGTTAGGTCTTCATTCAAAAGAAAACACCGACTTCTTTGTGGTGTTCTATTATCAACCTGTCTGTCTGTTTTTTGATTAAACAACTACATAGCTACTTAAAGCTGAACTAAATAACGTAAGGAAATTCCTTCAAATAAGATCCGCATATTTAGGATAAATTAATAAAAAAATATTCCAAAATAATTCCCTGTACGGATTGACAAATAATCGCGATAACTAAGCAGACAATTAGTGAAAAAAAAATATATGATCCACGGAGCGCTATACTGGGGAAATTTTGTTCTTATGCCAGTGATGGAAACAGAATGACCAATATCAAATCACGGCGGAGATATACACACCAGGATCATTTATCAAACTATTAATGCATTCAAAAATGTTTTTCCTATAGCGATGTGTAAGTCTCTTGTGGAAGGGATTAAATACTTATCCAAATATCAATGTAAAAATCAAATTAGGTTTATGCATTCCTCCACTACATTAAGTGTAATAGAATTGGACAATTAAACACCAAATTAACCTGGCACATTTTGCAAACCTGACAAATTAATCTCAGATCAAGTGACACTTCTTAGTACTTTTTTTCCGCCTCTAAGGTGAAAACTCGAAATGCATCACACCCTCGCTGAAGAGAGAGCGGAAAAAAAAATAAACTTTCACAACCAAACTAATTAAAAAATTATAATGACTCGAATCTTGTAAAATTATTTTTGAAGACGAACTAAACCCTGATAATGTGCTACAAATATTAAAAATGCTTAAAAACTGTGGAAAATTCCCAAGAATTTTTATTTTAAGCAAATTTTTTCCAATCAGGTTAATGATGTACATGGGGCATGCTTCCAGAAGGAGGTGATTAATTATTTAGACCGGTTGTTACGCTTAGCCTGCCAACATACATTCGCAAACGGTGCTTACCAGTGATAAAGTGTCCTAAGCATCTGCCTCCGATGCTCGGACAAAAATAGCGAGAAAGTTGTTTCTAAAACCTTACCTTATTCACTTTATTTAGTGAAAAAGTGCTTTGACTCTAGTTCTTCTCAAATAGACCGTCAACGTTACATATCTAACTCGAACAAATTATTAGTATAAACTCGAACCCAGAAACGTTAGGAAGAAGTAATAGAAGATAGTAAAATCGTCCACTGATATGGAGGAAAATGACCCAGCTAACCAATGGGAAAGCACTGTGCACTGACATGAAAAGTTACGGTTCAAGCAGTGAGTGCTATCCAAATCGTCGCCCACTAGTAGCAAGAGAATACCCCACGATGAGGCAGCAAAGTATTTCTTGTTCTAAGTTTTAATTGTTAACCTTTTATGGTGGAGTTCCAAAGTCCGGCCTCAACATGTTAAGTATGACTATAATCTTAGAACAAATAGAAATAAAGAATTAAATGCAAAATCCAGCGTACTAGCACTTTAAACTGAGAAAAAGGGACTATTTTAAATACAACCTCGAACTACATCTTAACGAATTTTCTACTGAGAAATGGAAGTCTGCATTCTTTTAGGGGATTCTTACTCTCAAGCGTGTTTTTTCCTATCGAAGGCATTAAACGGGTGATGTGTTGTTGAGAATCTCCATTCTAAGCCGAAGAGTTTAGTTACTTTTCAGGTACATTTGCATTCGTCAAATGTAAAATAGTTTTGCAGCATTCCAATTCGTAACCAAATTCCAAATCGTACTATTTGTGTGCATTGATGATGTCCCATGTAAAAAGTGAGAATAATGAGCGTCAGCATGTCGCAGTGATCAAAGGGCTGTTACTGAGCTTTGACGATGTGCTCATCACTACGCAGTATAAAGTCCAAATTCCTGACATTCAGAGTAGTCCATGAATGTTATAACCGATAATAGCTCTAAGTTGGACGCGCAATACTTATCTAAAAATAGTTTGGAACAAAATTTGAGGTTTTTCAAGTATTACCCTTTAGTCGCCTGAATATAGAACCGAAGTAAAATTAGATGCTTTAGAATTTATTTGGACCACACAAAAGCCGTTTGCGAGTAGATGTGTCCAATAAACGAAGACGAATAACTAGCCAGTTTTCAGCGCCGTTGACATGCAAAAAGGCGGTGGAGGGGTGGAGCGTGTAAGCCTCTCCACACACGTCAATTCGATTTGATCTCAGGCTAAAATGTGTCCTTCGTTGGTGTGCGGCGCTACTGCATCTATGTGCACGCATGTGAGTTGACATTTATTCGCACGCAGTACCAATTTGACTGCCTTCCATCGTATCATCTAATTACATTTCCCTACAAAACCAGCAACAATAATTTTGCCATCACCACCACTACCTTTCTCTCTTTCAAAATATTGTTTTCATGACAAAACTTAGAATGCGAAGCATAAAATCACATACCTCTAGAGTTAGTAGTGTGCACGAATGCCCACCGCCATCCTATGTAAACAGACATTCAAAAGATCAAAGACAAAGCCGAAGTGGTTCCATGTCACTGCCCCAGTAACGATCAATCCCCCAGATGACAAAACAGAGAAGCGCCAAAGGCTATTCTAATTAATGGGATTAAAACTTGATTTCAAGAGTTACCATCAACTAAAGGAAACTTGTTTAAAAGGATCCCCTTTAAGAAATGAGGAAACGATATCAAAATTGGACATTCTTTGCATTCAATAACTCCTTGCAAAGTCTCAAAGCAAAGAGAAGATTCGCTTTAACTGGAGACTGGCCGGTATTTCAGATACCATTACTAGGTTCACGACAAATGACAGTCATGAATTATGATTGATTAATTTCAACCTATTAAATGGAAATTAAATAAATTAAACAATCGGTAAAACGACGAAAAAAAAACTTGGATCTCACAGCTTTAAAGTTATCCAAAAACATTCAATGAACAAACTAGACTCTCTATCCCTATTTAAGTTAGTGAAAAATAATTAAGCAACATCATATTAGGAGAGGCCACGCTCAAAAAACCCAAATATTTTAAATATTTAAAAAGGCCTTTTCCATTTAAAAGAAATTTTACATTTTTACATCTTATAATTGCAGGCACTCCCATTAGTCTTCACAGTGTTCAAGTCCATTACGCTAAAAAAAACAATGTGAAATTAAGTTACGACAGCGAAACGCTGTAAACATATTCATCTGTTTACCCGGACTTGATTAATGCACACGCCAAATGTGGCCCGCCTGCAGGAGTAGTGCAACAATGAACGCATTAACAGGGTGGCTCTGAACAATTCATTGCTAGTAGTATTCAAGAAAAGAAATTTGACTTCCTGATTTTTATGTGCTAATTGGATAAAATGCCATTACCTATTGCACCTTTAATTGGGATAAGCCGGAAATTTGAATCATATAACTAATTCACCGTTGTTAGAATGATTTAGATCCGTTTACTTGAACTAGGAAATACAATATTGTCGACGTGTTTTTCGTTTGAGCACTAACTCAGGGAGGTCTTATTCACCGCTTAGTCAAAATATGTTTTATGAAAATTATCCATAACGTTGTCGGCGAATTCGGCACTTCGTTCAAAAAGACCTTAAAGCCTCGAACAAGGATTTTGCTAGTAAAACTCGCGCCACTGTAATGAAAAGTTCCTTCCCCTTGTTGAAAGGTGACAATTTTACCCCTTACCTCTTTAACGCACTTTTGGAACATCAAAACGACACGTTTGCGGGAGTTGAGCTTGTTTTATGGGTTCTAGAATACGCCATTTGCTCACCAACAAGTTTTTAAGTTGTGGAAGGTTTCCGATAATTTTACGTTTTTTTAGGAGGAGAGCTTAAGTAGAAATTGTGAATTGAAGTGAAATGATAGGGAGAGGACAAATGCCTCCATCTACTATGGTCCGAGGGGCACTACCGAAGCCGATTTGCTGCATAAGGATACTCTTGAACACGAATTTTGATGCTGGATAAGGGGATAATGTAGTAACAGTAAAAAACGGTGTCTCCAAATTCGACCTACTGTTCTTCGACAAAAGTGGTGGCAGCATTTGTTTAAAGGTGGGTCACTTTATTGATACTATAGAGCAATAAAATCGGAGTTACATGATATGCTTCCATTTACAGCTGGAGAGGTTTTCCCCCACCCAAATGTCCGAGAGAACCCAATAATCCCGATCGGTAAAAGAATTCCAATTTCAACTCCTGAACACTACTTTTCAGCGTGCAGATGCATGAAGCTGGTAAAATTACGTTTACTTTGAAAAAAAAATGGTTGGTAGATGATTAAATCAGATTTAAAATTCTTGATTATACGAGGCTAACGATGTCTTAATTTGTAATAATTTTCCGGAGGATTGCCCACAACGTATCTCAGCGCGAAATTTCAAACCTCCTGTCGCGAATCCAATAAACAACATAGATGATGAGCCACGCTTTTAAGAAAAAACAAGTGTCGTGAACGTTACTTTGGAGCAGGAATCTGGTGCAGATCAACTTCCAGCCTAAAAAACTGTACTAAAACAAGCCACGATACCACGTCGAATAAAAAGTTGTGCTTTATGGTACGGTATATTGTATTACAGCGCGGGATCGTGATACCTGTGCACGAAAGAGAGTTCACTGTGGGCATCAATGTATCCGTAATTTCAACTTGGTTTGGTTGACCATTACCGATACTAGATATGCTAGCCATTTCAAAACAAAATTATTTAAAAGAACACGAAATGCACCTTGAAATTCAATAACTTTTCCCTAATAAATGTAGTGCTATAAAAATAATGACGTTCAACAATCATGATCCAAGTTCATACGCCATTTCAGTGTAAGATTTTTAATCAAATATAAATACATTACGGGAAAAATTTGTAACCTACATGTGAAAAAACTGCCAATAAGGCTCTACTGAACCCGAAACTATGGCATACATTTTAAGTTTCATGAGACGCAAATATGAACAAAGCAGACAAAAATGTTGCAATCAAATATTAAGGGTAACATTAGACACCATGCACACAACAATTTCGCCTTACCCGTGAGGAGCCACAGGGAATTAGAATGAAAGGTTAAAACAATAACATCATTTCGGTCGAAATTGTGTGGAATATCTCGGAAGACTAGCAGAAGAAATCGCCAGTGGAAGATACACAAAATATAAAATGTAGAAAAATATAATCTGGGATGCAAATTACCATGTGCAAGCTTCTGGTCAATTCAAAGGAAACTTCTACGTTACAACCAATAAAACTTCAGTTTTGTTGCAAAATGACGCCATGCAAAGAACGCTAGACCTCAGACAAATTTAAACGACATTAGAAAAGCATTACAAACTAAAAATGGATTATGCAGCATGGCTGACGTTTTGGTTTGGAATCGAACTAATAGACGTTTTAAAACTATTTTGAAAGTTAACAGCCAGTTACGAGACTACATAACGCACTGCTACCTATGGGGAATCGGATTAATTTCAATTGCATCAATCTCCGAGATTGTGATATGTCAGAGGCGGAGTAATTTCTCCAAGCGTTAGCAGAAAGGGAGACTTAAAAAGAATTCTTTTTTCCGTTGTACGACACGCCACCACCTGAAGCAATTCAACGAGCCGTTGAATGAAAACGTTAGACTTACAACAAAACCCATCCTGAAGAGAACCTTGACGCCCTCTGCGAGGAAACAGTCCACAATCGGCACCAGACACTCAAAGGGCACGAACCACACGGCTATAGGCCAGGCGGCAAGCGCATCGCTCTGCTTCTGTTTCACACTCCCCTTCCTTCTACCTATCCCTTTACTCTTCCCTCCGCCCACCTCCTCGATTGCAGGGAAGTTTAAGAGACTCCAATGAAGGAACGTGGAGGACTTGGTGTCAAGCAGGGCTTCGAGGGCGAGACAGCGACTGCGCCAGAGACTCTTGGATTGCGCCACGCGCTCGTCTGGCGCTGCGTCGAGCAGAGCACGCATACAGGCGAGGGCAGTGCGTGGGCGCAAGTAATGCAACATAAGGGCAGCCAACGGCCAGACGTGCGGCGCGTAGACAACATGGGGCCGCGAGACCGCAAGGTCGTGAAGCACCGCAAGGTGGATGGCCTGCCCTCGTGCGTTTAGGTGGTATGTGGGCTGTAGCCGACGGTCAGCCCATTCCTGACCGACCAACAGGCTCTGACGCTCCGGAGAGGGCTGAGGCGTCTCGTCCTCAGCTCGAGGCAATGCTGACCCAGCCTCCTCCCTGTCGCTAGGACTCTGCAAGTGCGCGTAAGCCAGCCATTTATCATTCGGTTGATTTGCATCATGGTAATGCTAGTCTCATCGATGAACGCCATGCCTACAGTGAAATTTTATCACTCGACTTCATCCCATTTCTTCAGTCTGATTTTTGAAAACTCACTTATCCTTCAAAATTTGTTTCTTTAAGCATCTTAAGATTTTCTGTGTTTAAATTTGGCGGAAACTTAAAAAAAGGGAACCAGAAAAATGAGGAGCTTGAAAATCACATTTTCAGCAGCACTAATCCAAATATTTTACAAATGGTTCATTTACGGGTATTACAACAGTAACGATTAGAGCATAACCAATAATTTGTAACATTAAATTCGGAGATGACTTACTATATTCCAATCTTTCAGCAATACGATATTTGAGAGACTAGTCCTTTTGCGAGATCCATCGAAAGGACCAAACCAATGTTGATTTTAAAATGTTGGATTCCACAGAGTAGCTTGGATGGATCATTAAATTCCGAGGATGTCAGTAACAATTAAATCGCTAGTAGAAGCGGAAATAGTAATATTCCTTACAACTTTTACAATCCAAAGAAAGTTAAAAGATCAAAATCGATTCAAAGAAATTTTGAATTACCGACAAAATTTCCTCATGCCAATTTTACTTTTGAACAAAGAATACTTTATTTAATACCGGCAGAAAATTAACCTATCGAAGGTAAAAAGGAGCTCAGTCTTTAAAGAAGCAATTTTTTAAAGCTTTCTGGGTTAAGCCAAATACGAGCTGAACTGACATACAGCTGATTTTTGATCCAAGTTAAATGAACTTTCATAATGCCCACACGTTGTCTAGGCTGTTCAGTTAATCTATTAATAACGAACATGCGAAATTCCCCTTTTAAATGTAACATAGATGAAAGGTGCCTTTTCGTATAGTATTTTAGGGAATAATCAAGCCTATAACTTTAGTAATTAACAAAGTTGCAGTGCTCAATTGTCAACTCGATAATAGCGACGTTGGATTCTATCCACAAATAAAAACTCATGCTGGTGACGGATAGAAATCACCCCAAAAATGTGTAAAACAATTAAAGATCTGTAACAAAACGTTCCTACATTCCTTCAGCACGTAAATAAAATCACTCAATTTAGACGTTCGCATACACAGCACAGAACAACTCAGTCAGTTGCCCACTGCTTCTCCTGGGAGTATTCTTAGCGTCAGGTTCCAGTATTTCACCAAGCAAGTTAGCTACCCATAGTCGCTTTTCAACATCCGCGCTAGCTAGACTATTCGGTATTTTACCAAACAGACTATTTATCTATGACACGAAAGGTGGTATTCGACTTGATTTTATTGTAAGTAATACACGTTAACAGTATGATATACTCACGCGTTACCATTGTGCTGGTTACTATTATAAACAAAATATGAGCCATTCAAATGAACTCAAGACTCAGTGGAATTTTAATTCACTTAGAATAAAAACCTTCACAACGACATAAAGCAGATGAAATTCGTTTTCATTGTCACTGAAACAGATAACATACAAGAAAGGAGCAGTATCCTACGCAGGAGTAATTGTGCATATAACCAAAAAAATCAATCCGTTTGGCCAAAATAAAAGCGGAATTTCAAGATTCCTCTGTCCAAATACCTTACGATCAGGTTTTAGTCGACTTTGCACCCTCTCATCTCCACGTTTTCTGAATATAACATTAGTAGAATGAAAAAGTACTAGCCCACACATTTTATAAGTGTATCTATCACATAGCGTTAAAGTACCCTTAGCGGATCACGCCCACTTGCTGACCAAATTTGACGCGTGTATTAAATAAGTTTTTCAAATACTATCCAACTGATGTAGTTTGCTTTCACCTAATGGTACGACAGAGTCACTTTTTGTGCATTGGAGCTCCCCCATTATTCAAAAGGAGGAAGAGTTAACTAAACTTTACGTGGAAGGGGATGTTTACCAAGATGGCTTGGAATAAAAATAAAAGCTTAAAGTTGTAGCATCCATTTTCTAACACTAATATCATGGGTGATGAGTCTAAACTTAAATGTGGCAGACACAGAGTTGTTAAAATACCATTCTTTGAACATTGGGCAAAATTTTATTCACAATTCCTAGCTACAAAATTTCATATACTTTATGTGGTTTTATTTTCATAATCGAAAAATTCAGCACTGAATATGGAATATGTAAAAATAAATTGAAGATAAGACAGTTCCACTCACGTTACACCTTATGTAATTGACGATTAGGTGTTTAATGCTGCGACAATCTCTTTGGGTCCCAGCAAAGCAGATTTTTGTACCAAAACTACGATATCCTGTTGGCCAAGTATATCATCTCTCGTCACCTAGGTTTGGTCATTTTCTTTCCCAATTCATATCCTGCTCAAAAATGTAATGCAGGAAGGGGATCGTCGAAACACAACAAAAATAAAAACTCGAGGTGTTATTTGTCAATCAGCCTTTGTAAAATTGTTGATTTGGTTCACGGGTCAAATTTTTGAGTGCCCTCATGCCAAAAATTGAGGCACATTTCGACATTATTGATAGTGTTTAGGTAAAAGTGGGGATACATTTCCTTGATATTTTCAAGAACACAAGAGCATAAATACTGAATGAAACAAGGTACCGTTCGTGATAACTCAGAACAAATCTTCATTAATGCGTTTATTACTTAAGAAATATATGATAAAGATTGTGTTTACACGATCGCGTCGTTATCTGCGAAAACTGTAAGAGTAAAATTTGCAAATATAGTCACCCGACTAATATCCATATTATAAATGTCCCATCATTCATCAACGTTGCAGCTGAATACGTGAATTTCTCCCACCAATTCCTTACGTATTATACCCTACGCAACAAACGTGAAAAGTTGAACTTGAATCACACCTCAGACCAGTAGTTTTAACTAGGTAGGATTCATCAACCAGTGTCAGTGGCACCAAATTACTAGGATAAGTATTCAGCCATAGAAAATCTGCGAAAGGACACATATAACGCATTGAATATACCACAATTAATTTGATATTCCGATTTTTTTGACTGTCTTTACGATCCTCACTAAGCATGGGCGTTGCTCTGAGTGTAATATTATTTATACGTAAATGAATAATCGGAACCCAAATTCAGAAGTGCTGCCATTTCTGAATTTATTCCATAAATACAGACCCACTGTCATACTATTGTGCAGCTTTGCTTAGTGGCTGATGTTAAAGCGAATCTGGCAATTGCATTGCTCGGGCCCCGATTCGAGTGAAAGTGACAAACGCTCAACTCCTAATCGCCATTGACCAAGGACCTTTAGGCTACAGTCCAAATACGGCTGGTTAAACGAACCCAGTGCCTTAGTAACGAAAGAATGTGGCCCACAAAAAGTGAGTAAAAACGCCACTGAAAATACGTCGTAGGATCATCCGGCCAACTCAAAGCATAATTTGATCTTTGGAATGTATTCATGAAACTTTGATAAAGAGGTAGACCTAGAAACTAACTAACAAGCCTCTGCCTTAACGAACATAGCATATATCACCCAACAGTCTATTGCATCTCAAAATTGAGCTGTACTATATTCCTCGTGATCACACAATTTGGATTAGTTTGTCCAAAAAAGTTGATACACTGGAATTTACGAACAACAATGAGGTTGAGTCATCGTTATATCGGTTATTTTTCTCGGCAATAGTTTCAAAATCATGGTGAACTACAATTTGTAATGACACAAGCATAATTGTGCATTTCTCCTTTGCGAAACGATAAGTTGAACTGACATTAAGCTGGACAATAAGATTGTAAGTAGCTCGGAATTTGCTGAGCGTCTTAGTCTTCAGTGCTTTCGTACTCTAAGAAGAAGTTCCCAGAATAATGAAGATAAACTACTACGGTGAGATAGAATCTAGTGTTTATTGCTGACAATACTCTAGGTCGTCATAGTCTTGCTCCCTCGAAATGTTGTCGCTTCCTTCTTACAACGATGGGATAGATCTTTATTAAAAAACAAATTAAACGACAAATGCGAGACTGTCTTTGGGCGAATGCATAATTCCCAAAGATAATATGCTATCTTCCTTTTCCAACTGCATGAAAACATCGGAATTTAATTAATCCTTATACCTTTATCATGCACCTAGTTATTTCCTACAAAGGATTTGAAACAGGAATAGTTAATTCATAGATTTCGGGGAGAAAGTGAGCAGTGATGAATATGGGTGGATGAGTAATATTCATATAGATGAACCAACAGCATCGTCGTAGGTATCAGCCGCATTTTATCGGCCTTGCTTATAAAAACCGCAAATACCTAATTTTCGTGGCCGGAAAATTACTGATATGTCTTGATCAAGTAGTAAGCATTTAAAACTGGTCCATTTTAGTCTGACTAGTGGTTACACAAATATATCAATTTGAAAGATTTCTTTAGTCGAATTCCTTTGACTGTTCGGATTTGATCTTTGTTGGGATGAAAGTTCACATCTCTGCGACCAACGACATGATTTTTTTGCCATATGTTAGCTTTACTGATATCTGATAGCATATATTATGGATAGAGTACAAAAATATATTAAAAGTCGAAGTGGATAAGATATTGCGAGCAATTAACGTGATTGAACATATGGAGAGTATCGGTTCTTCAAAATTATCAGAATCTTCAAAGGACCTATCCGTCTTTTCATAATAATTCAAAATACACATTTACTTGGTTCCCATGCTTTGCATTACCTATATGACGAGAAGGTAATTTTTAATGCAAAGATAAGCGTTGATTTTGCATAACACATGTGCCATGTATTAAAAAGCTGGATCAAAATAGTTGGCGAAATGCTGGTTGGGAAATCAGGCCTGTGTTTTAAAGAGTCACTGATACGTACCTCAATTGAGGTGCCCAGATATCTATTAATGAGGAAAGGCCAAAGTTGTCGCCTGATTGGGTGATTAACTGGAAGATGCAATTTCCTCGCCGCGTGCTTTGGAGGCCTCGGAGAATTAAAATAATGCTGCTCCAAATCCCTCAGTGTACAAATGTGTTCATGTGACCGCAGCGGTGGGAGAGATGCAATATATTCCTCATCAACCAAATCGGTAAAGGGAATACTAAAGAGAACGGTTTGAAAAAACTCCGATGACCAAATCCTGAGAGGTAAACAACGAAAGTCCCAAAAAACGGTATCCAGAACTATTACAGGATAAACATGAACTTTTGCACTCAAAAAGCGGTTTGCAAATGCATGAGCAATAATTATTTGGTTTTTTATCATGTATTCATAAGATAACAAGCGCACACCTTAAAACCATATAAGCAACAGTTTTGGCAAAGCAGATGTGTAAAATTACCTCGCCATAGTGTAAATAGACCACAAAATTAGGAGTGAAACAGCCACATATGACGACGATGCGAGTGACCGCAAGGTTGCTTTGCTCAGTTGTGTCCAGTCAGGCGATAAGTATAATTGCGAACTATCGAGCAATGATTGGCTGATTTGAGGTCATGTAACAGCCTAACAAATAGCAAAATAGTTGTCTTGCTTCCTATTAAAAATTTTATAGCCTTGTTTTTGAGGGTTTTTTAAATTTTTGGCAGAGTTAAGTTCTTTGCAATTATAGCTGTTGCATTATTGATAACCTTGACCTTTAGAACCTCTGCCTTCCATATTTGATTGGCTGATTATTGGCGTTGTTAGCTTATTGCTGTCCATTTCCAGAATGGGAAGGCATAAGCTGCCCGAGAGGGATAGAGGTGCAAGACAACCATCAAATCATAAGCACAAGCACAAAGGGAATAAAGCTGGCAGCGAAAAGGCTTCTTCTTCCGGAGTTTCTGGTGTTCATTCAGCAAATGCATGGGAAGACGTCAAATTCGAGTCCAACGATCGTAAGGAAAAGTTTCTACGATTAATGGGCGCTCAAAAGCAGCGAAAGCATACAGGCGGCATTCAGATAGGTGAGAAGACAGTCACTCACGCACGCGCTGGGGTTGGTGTCGAAGAAATCGGTAAAAACCTGGAGCGACAGTTTGCTGAGGGAATGGAGTACAAATCCTCCTGGAATCGTCACGCAGGCCTTGGTTGTTCTAATGAGAGTTCTTCTTCCCCTCTCCGAAATGCCCCTATTCAACCTGATAGGGATGAGGAATCTACAGTTCTATGTTCAGACAGTAAATATACGGTGAAATTTGTAAAAAGTTCTGATCAGTAAAAAATGCGACCCATTTTATAACTACCTTTGGTTTACTACTGGAGTCCCGTGCCTGCCTTAGGGTCTTAAAGGCCCTGCAACCTTTGGTTTTGCTCCCATTTCTTACATTTTCTTTCTTGGTTGGTTTTACATATGTATTAATATTAATTGATTTGCTTAAGTCTCTGTGACCCTTATTTTACTGTCACTAAAATACCCCTACTTCTCTGTTACTTCCAATGACTTCGGCATTTCGGATGTTTTCCGGTAAAAAAGTATTTTCCTGACGCGAATTTTTTTGAGCTTCTGCTGTGCCGCCATAATTTTGCACTGCAATTACCCTGATTTATGCGTGATATTATTTTGCCAGTGTACTGTATGTCCTTCTGCTACGTTTCCCGATAAATCACTTTTGACTCCGTGTGTTTGTTAACACCAATAGATATGTCTGGACAAAGTGCCGCTCATTAATGGCATTAATAGATAATTCATTGGTGTTATTGCTCTTCATCTTTGCGTAAGACCTTTCCAGTACTTAAACGCGTTCTTCAGTGTTCTCTTTTGTGCCGAAATCTGGTATATTTTAGCGCTAAGCGTAATGGGGTCGGTTTCTTCCCCACTTTCTTCTAGCTTAGATTTTTTTCCTTTGTTCCACTTATTTAATTTCTTGGACCTCGAGCTCTTCTTCGTCCATTGGGTAACTATTCTGGCAATGTATTCTTATTTTCGAGGGCTGAAATTCCTTGAACATGTGCTGTGCCCGTGGATTGAATCTTGATTCTACCTCTCACCTAGAAGACGTTACTACTTAAAGTGGTTTAGTACGGATTCCATAATATGCATCTAAAGAATACATAAATGAAAATTATTGAATCTTCTGACAACGCCACAGTTTGAATTCTTGAAAAACTACAATCAAGTAGTTCTGCTTAGTGTATGAAGCACCCGTTTTGTTGTTTTCTTTTAAGTCAACATTAATTACATTTGTTTGAATCTAATTGTGATTGAAAACCGTCTGTTTTCGTCCACTTTGGCCATTAATCATTTTAGACAGCATAGGGAACCACGCTAATGAGCATTATGGTACGCGGACAAATTTTGGTTTTACAGCCTTTCATGTAACCGCCTCATTTTTAGTGGTCCGTTTACCGGTATCATGAGGCATTATTATTTTCTAGTTAGACATAAGATACCAGTGGTGGAATATTCAGCAAATTTTTGGATAATGATCCCTTTAAATCTGTATTTGTACGGTCTGCAAATTTCAAAATTTCCTATGTTAACTGGCATGAATATAACCTGGTTAATAAAGCGTCGTTGGGATTTAAAAATCTGCATTCAAAGATGGTACATTGATGCGTGTGCGGAGGAGCAGGTCGAGTTCGTTGAGTTCTGGAGTGCAAACGAGGTGCGTGAGTGGCATTTTGTATACTCTGTAAGGCGGGCAAGCACCTTAAAATACCTTTCCTTTGGGAACCTCGCGCAGGAGACACTCACTAGCCACAATTCCAAAGTGTTTTATCCCAATCACTTGTATTTATTTGCACCTACCTATTCCAATGGCCTGTAATTAGCATTAGAAAGTTCGAGATTGCAATCATCCATTTTCCGATACTCTGGCGAATGTTATATGATGGTATGATAAGGAACCTTCTTGGATTTCTCTACCAAAATCGCCCTTGTTTCGTTTAATGTTCCTGGCCTTAACGCCCATAATCGTAGCGTAATTTACGATGCGTGAAATGTTAGTTTGAAATATGCCTAACATCACGAATTTGTAGTCTTATTTGTCCTTAAGGCAGATTTGTCCCCTCATTAGTTTCCAGACCACTTTTTATAATCTATTTGCTCACTCATTATGCATACCAACTGGCTCTACATCTAACTTTGTCTCTTTAACTTGTTTCTTCTTCCAAATTGCATGAAACTAACCGACGATGGTAGGAATCACTTACCATTTACTCATTAATCAGTGTGACAAATGGGGCATTTTTACTGTTAACGTTATTGAATCCTGGTTTTAAATCGAAATGTACTTTACCTTAAACAGGTGGTACTGTGGCCAAGAAAAGAATGATTATTAATGCATTTCTCTAAATCTTTTGATAACTCCCTTTAATAGACATACAGTGAAGAAGCCAAAAATCCGAAGAAATTCCAAAATGAAACGCATTTACAGGCTTTTTGGATTTCAGTATTGTTCAATGTTTGCGCGAAATATTTGGACCCCCAGGAGAAGTACGAGTTGTTTACTAATTGCTAAAACTCCACTGAGATGTAGGCAGGGTTCGTCAGTGTTGGTTTCCTATATCTAGATCAGGATTGTTCATCTGATTCAATACTGTTAGAGTCGTGGTCTCACTTTTGTTTATCCTGCTCAATTCCAGTGGACACTTGTTCGTTATTACCAATTGTTTAGATTGCGTAATGTTTAAACAAGTTGAGAACAGCTGATTGGGACCGCTGAATGGACGCCACCCTCTCGGCAATCCCTCAGTATGTGACTACGTTCCAGATGTTTGTCTTTCTCAGTCATCACACTTCTCCCTTTCGTCATAGTTCTGCATATCCAGAAAGGCATGCTTATCTCCTAGGCCGATAACGTATCATTTTTCCATTCAAAACAAGTGTTTGTTGTGGACAACAAATATTTTGTTGTATTGTTCTCTTGTACCACTGCGGCATTATCTGTAGTTCAAACAATATCTCGATTAGATAATAGGGCACCTCTTCATAAGCTCATGGTCATTTAAGCTTACCATCCAGGTGATTGGCTTTATAAGGCAATTTTTTGAACGTCGACTTTATAGCGTGTTATTTTTCGTGAAGAAAATGAGCCCACTTGTGTATTTTGCGTTTTATTAAGTCGACTCTGTTTCCTGAAATGACATGTCAATTTTATAAAGTGGCTAACACTTTTTGTCTCTTTACAATTGAACTTCAGTAAAAGCCGTATTATCCATGAAAAGAGGTCAAGCTAAAGGACCCCATGAGTTGCGTCCAATTCGTCTAACAGATTCGATACTTAAGGACCTAACGGCCTATGCGAAGACTTCAAGTATATGTTTTCATCAGAATGAGCCTCAATTTAGGAGTGTAACTCTTATAAACCTCGTTTCCTTAAATTAATAGCCTGTATTGTTAGGTTTAATTTGATTACTAGGGGGAAACTTTCCAAACGTTGATGTCTTAATATGCTACGCCAATTTTGAACTTAATGAAGCAATCTTCATCTAAGTGTGGGATTGCTCGACTGCCTCGTCAATCCACACCATAATTCTAACTGTCCACTTTATTTATAAAGTTCGTTTCTGGGACTTACATTGCTAATCAATCCGTCTCTTGAGTGCATTCATTCTTTGTACACGAATTTTCTCAAAGAAGTAGGCAAAATTGGGTTAAAATAGGCCAGTAGGTGTTTGGACAAGTTGGAAGTTCAAGGATATTGAGAAAATTTGGTCCATCTTGGGGAAATTTGTCTTCAAGTCAATTATGCTGGTTCAATGCCTACTCCATTCGCAACTGTGACTGGGCGATTTGACCAATGGCTCGTTGATCGTAGCCTTAAGCGTGCTGAGTTCGTGGCGATTGAGAGATAGCATAACCACTAAATTTCGCAACTGCCATAGCATCAAAAGAAATGTCCCTTGCTGCGATCCAATTCTGATTTCAAACAATTGTCTTAGAATTGATAAGGCCTTTTAGCAAAGCTGTTTTCAATATATATTTCTGAAATAGTTGTTTAATCATCATTACCCCTCATTCCCTTTCAAAGCAGCTGCACACGTGGACGCCGCACAAATACGAGGAATGATTCAAACATCGATTCAGTAGTCAATTCCAAAAAGAGGCAGACACTTAGCGAGGAATACCGCCTTACTAAGCAGCCACCGTATTTGCTGGCACCCTAATGCTATCAAGCGTATTTTGTTTGAATGGGTGCCAGTCGTGTTCCGTTGTTTTTGCTAGACAATGCCAAGAAATCTCTGTTTTTTTAAAGCCCCTTTATTCAGTTCAATGAAGATAACCCTGATGATGCGCATGCGGGTTCTTGAGTATCCTGGAGACTTAAAGGCTCTTCGGCTTCAGATTTTGCTACGGGTTTCTTTATTGTAAAAGGGAGATAAGGCATTTGAGCTGTTTATGAGCTACCCCGGTTTCGTCTACGCTGATTATTTATCGCATAGCATTACCGAATTCTTAATGGAACTTGTCCAAGCTTTAGACATAAGCGCAAGTGCCTATGTTTGTGCATTTTCTGTCGCTTCGACGAACAAAATTTAAAGACTCGTGAAACAGGGCATGGGCATATTCAATGCTGCAGTGAAGTTCTCCTAGTACGTTCTTAAACGAGCCATTCCATTCCTATTTGTGGCAGTGAAATGAACAAAACGACCGGTCGCTGCTCTACCTTCACCCCTATGGAAGCAAATAAATGAAGCCGACGTTTTTTAAGCTCCCCCAAACCCACAAAATTAGTGGCATTTGTGCACTATGTTTGGCCAAAAATGTAATTCGTCACTACCTCGGTGTCTTTCAACAGATTTCGGTTAATCAAGGCCTCAGCCTCTTTCAGACGTAAAATGCTCACTTTAAATACCAGTTTCAATCATGAAAGGGACGCCTAATAGGTAAATGATAAAAACACTTCCGAATGATCAATGAAGCCAAACCTTTAGCTTTGCTGTTAAACTATCCCCCCCCCTCCTAATAATATCTGGCCGGATAAAGCGGTGCTATTACGTGTACTATCGTGGGATTATACTTCTCCAACACCAGTAACGTAAAAAGTAATCTAAACCAGTGCTTGATACTTTAAAAGATACAAAAGAGATTTTAAAAAAATGCATTTGCTAAAAGAATGAATTTCAAAATGAGAGGACAAGTAATGTGATTTTGCGATAAATACCTACACTTTCATCTCAAGACCTAATGGATTCACGAAAAACCCCCTTATTTCAAGCACCCTAACACTTTTGCCACTAGTATGGGGCCGCGATTTTCTAGCCTTAGCCGGATAT